CGGTGCGGTAGTAGCAGTCCTCCGTAGAGAAGGGGTTAAAAGCTGTCACTGCAGTGAAATCGGTCAATATTTTCTTCAGAATACACACCTTTCCAGACCAAAAAAACTCTGATGTCCTTCCCCTGGAAAGGTCCGCAACTAGGGCAAAATAAAATTGGCATGCTTCCTGCCTCCCTATGTACCCCATTTTGACTGGAAGTGGGGGTGGAAAATGTGAAATTTGAACTTAAAAAATTCGAATGAAGTGTGAAAGAAGTTTAACAGTGCTATGCACGCAACTAGTACCCCATGACGTGTTGTTCATTCCATTTAACGTTGTTTTTAAACAGTCAAAACTTAATGCCGGCGTACGAAATCCGTTTTTAAAAACTTCCCACTTACCCACCTCTTTTCCGATGCTTTGTGATACAAAGAAAAACTGTCTTCTTTTTGGGCCTAATGAAATTTCCACTGGCCTACACTTACTGGAGGGTCCGTAGGCCATCAAAGACGACTTGCCCAGCTCCTCAACGACCCCCGAGGATGAGTGGGTGCCGTCCCACACGACGTGCATCTTGGAGGACTTACTGCTGCTCCTGTGACCATCTCGCGTGTGATGGTCCCACTGCTGTATGGGTACTTTGTGTAAACAGGAGCAGGTAAGGAGAGATGTTAGCGCAGATGAAGGCACGCAAGGTGCGAACATCCCTTAGACTTCCTGAAAATGCTTTTAAGCCGTTACCATTTATTTTTTTTCAGACTGGAAGTTCTAGCAAATTATTTCCCGAAATGTTGCTCAATTAGGATTATACAAATACAGAATGGTTGAAGGGGAATCAGTGAGAATTACGGGTAGCAAGGTGCAGTCAGCTTGACTACCTCCCGACGAAAAACTCAAATAAGCCATGCTGTATGAGTTTTACTACCGTAATTTTCGGAATATAAGCCACCCGGTGTGTAAGCCGCAGGACGCTTAAAAATCCGCAAATTAAGATTTACAGTCGGCGTATAAGCCGCACCGCAGCGCTGGTGATCTAGCCATGAAGGTGCTGCATGCTGAAGCACTAGTAATGGTTCCATTATAGGCAGACTCCCAATAACTTTAAGAAAAGTGCGAACAAGTGTCACTATAAAGTGAATTTTAACCACTTCCTGCTGGGGATTCCGGATCCCGACACGTATGCTTTATACGTGTGGCCGGGGTCTCCGAACTCGGACAAAGGGAACAGAGCCCTGTAACAAAAGACCGTAATCGGAACAAAAGACCAGGCTGCAGGGCATTACCGACATTTTTTTCACTCTCAAAAGTGAAGATAATTCAGCCTTGTTTTGAAACAGTATACCACGGTTTGGGGCATTTAGAGCGAGCGGATTACCCCCGGGGACAAAAGCGCTCCACCACCGCAGCGATGAGCCACACAGTACCACTGCATGCTAATCTGGCCCCTATTAAAAAGAGGTCAGCAGCACAATGAGCCAGGTTCGTGAACAAAGGAAAGTTATATAACACCGTACAATCTGGGCTCTTTTTACAAGGCTGCAGGCCTGGCTGAAATATTCAGGCGTCAACAGATTTTGTCTGTCAGGCTAGAGTGGACACCAGACAGTCCTTCACGTGTTTGTAAGTGTCCAGTAATTAATGAAGATAGGAATATTTAAAGAATTTTGAAAACAGAAAAAAAAAAGATAAATATCCGGGCTCAGCATCATCAACATTGATAACTGCGCAGGCAGGAAGTGATTATGTCTTGAAATGTAATCATTTTTGCAGGGTTAGATGACCGTCCTGCATGGGCCGTGGATCAGCTCTTGGCCTTTTTCCCAGCAACCTGCAAAAGTTATGCAGTCGGGGACACACAATAAAACTCAAAATCAGTTAGGTCTAAAATAATTTTTTGGTATCTCACTGGGATGATGCCGTCCGGGTGCGCATCGTTTCTTCTTCCCAGTCGCACAGCGGAATCGGCCAATGACGCACTCCAACATGTTCGTGAATATTTATGAGGTGTATTAAATTTGAATCCCTATCTCAAATAAGTGGCCTTTAACACTGACAGATAGCTTCAAGTTCACCTATCAGCTCAATGCTTAATTTGTCACAATGAAATGAACCACTGCAGTCTAAGTTATAAGAAGCACCTTCAAACACTGCAGTTGTTGGATTCAATTTCACTACTGGTGAAATTTGTACACATGTACATGTATTAGAAATATGTGATCCTCACCTTCGTATTTGTGCTTTGTGGTGATATCCTCATAATCTCTCGTTCTTTCCTCTCCTTTGTCCACTGATCTGTGTTTCTGTTTCTTCTTCTTCTGCTTTTTCTTTTCCAGTCGGTATTCCTCGTCTCCGCTGGAGTAATGGAGCAAGGCTTCTTCGTCATCATCCTTGTCTCTGTGTTTCCGGTTCTTCTTTTTCTCTCGCCGGTGACCGCTTGACGTGTCGTCCCCGTTTAGTCGCGGCGAGCTCTCTGGATATTTGCTGTCCTTATTTGAGTCTCTGTGCCTGTGTTCTTTGTGGGATTTTGAATGTTTGCTGTCTGAGGTATGTCTGTGTCGGTGGGAATTAATGCGTTTCTTTTTCCTCTTCTCTTGGTGCAGACTTGTGGGGGAATCATCTTCCAGACGTCGGACTTTCAAAGGGCGGTCCGAACTGCTGCGGTCCTCAGAACTGTGTCGTTTCCTTGATTCCTTGTGGTGTTTTGAACGTTCATGGGAGGAGCCACGTTCACCTTGAGTCCATTTGTGGCTTGAGGGTCTCTTGTGGAGGTCGTCGGCGTTGAAGACACGCCTGTGCCCGTCGTGTCTGGACGAGGCTTCCCGGCCCTCGTCGCTGCTGGAATGGCGATTTCGGCAGTGCTTCATTTTCTTCTCCAGCGTCCGTCGGATCAGCGAGTGCCTCTCTTTGTCCTTCCAGTCCTTGTGCGAGTTTGAATGTTTGTGGCTGGACTCCTCATCCTCTGATTGGCTGTCCAGATGTCTGGAGGGTTTGTATTTGTCGCGGCCATGCACGCCCTTTTTGTGTTTGTGTTTATCACCAGCTGTTGCGTTGTCATTCAGTAATGGTTCCTCGTGAGCGTTTACCTGCGGCTCCACAACTCGTTCCACCCACTCTTCTTCCAACTCCATTTCATCCTCCACCTCGAGTTTCTCCTTCTTTTTCTTCTTCTTCTTCTTGTGCTTTTTGGCAGATTTCAGCAAGTCGTCGGACACCGGTTCGGTCTCTCTCTCCAAACCCTCTGCCGTTTCCTTGTCCGTGCTGCTTTCCAACAAGAGTTCCGATCTGCCAGGGAGGCTGTCATCAGTTGGGCTGGAAAGATGTTGCTTTTTCTTCTTCTTTTTCTTCTTCACCTGAGTCGCATCTCCAGTGTCTCTCTCCGGTGATGTTTCATTTGGCCCTGAAACTTGTCCTGAAACTTTACCATTTCGGTTCGCTGATCTACCTTGAGGTTGCACTTTCTCGTCGCCTGTTGAGTTATCTAGTGACTCCACTGAAACACTTGATGATTTTATCACAGTATCTCGCATACTCGTTGATACTTTCTTTTCCTCTTTGATAAGTGAGAGGTTCTTTTTCAGGTCTTTCTCTTCTGGTGGTTGGTCCTGGATATTGTCGAATTTGAGGGCTGCTTTGGGCCCTACGAATGTAGTTCTGCACTGTTCTGTGTCGCTCGTGGATTTGTCTGAGTTTACAGATTTAGAAGGGGTGATATTCCAGCCAAAGACAGCAGCTTCTTTTTTGATCTCTTCAGGGGTTTGCGGGGCGTCTTTCTTCTCCAGGATACTCCACTCGCTGGTGGAGTTGGTGGAAACGTTGCTGTGCAGGCTGCAGTCGGAGGCTGGGGAGGGTGAGATCTGGGCGTCCGAGTCCACTGCCCGCCAATGAGTGGTGGACTTGAGACGCTGGGCCTGGCCATTGCTGGTGGTAATGGTCAGCTTGAGCGGGGAGTCCGGCTTGCGGATGGCCGTCAAGTTCATGCTGTTGGCCAGGCCGGCCTTCTTTAGGTGGGTGGGCGAGAAATGCGAGCCGTCGGACGGCGTTTTTGCAGCTGCTGGGGGTTTCATGGGCATGATGTCCACTGAGTTCTCCTTGAGTTTGCTCGGAGTGCTATCTCCCGGAATCTCTTTGGTCCTCGGTCCCGATGAATCCTTGGTGGATTTATCGGGAGTTTTTACTGTCCCAGCATCTCCAGCTGGTGTCATTGACAACTCCGCCACGACCTGGTCGTAATTGGTGTCCGAATCACTTGAAGAATTGGAATCCTCGGCCGTGTATGGGACAAGACCAGACCCACTCGGTGCTTTGCAGATGCCGTTGGTGTTGGAAGCGTCCTGGGTCGGTCTGGCCTTGGGTCTAACCAGCCCTGCCAGGTGTTTCAGCGAGTCCTTGGCGGGGGTTGTTGGTGAGCTGAGCGCGGGTGGCGAAGTGGGGCTAGGTCTGTTGGGCGAGAAGACCGTTGTGGCAGCCGGCTGGTCCGATTGGGCTTGCCTAGTGGCATCCCCTGACCCGGCTACGACGGGGGTCTTGGTGGCCGGTCCCCCAGGTGCAGCAGTAGGGGACTGCTTTTTCGCGACTGTCATGGACTGTCCCTGTGAACCTGCGGTGGCCGGCCCAGACGCTTTGGGCCGGAACTGGAAAGAGAGTTTCGGCCGCTGGTTGGACGGAGGGACCATCTTGGGAAGGTGATGCCTTGCCTCCTGCTGCGGTTGTTGCTGCGGTGTCTGCTCCGATTGCTGCGGCCGGAATGTCTGATGCGGTCGCTTCTGCTTGTCCTCACTGATAACCGTCGGCTTGAATCCGGCGTTATGAAGCTGCATGGGTGTGGTGCTGGTTGAGGGTCTCGGCACGGGCGTGCCGACGGGGCCGTTGAAGAGTGACTGGGGCCTGCTCATCGTTGTGGCTGGCTTGGGGCTGTTAGTCTGCATCACATCCCGTTTGGTCTACCGTGAGAAAAATCAATTCAGATGTAAACCAGACGTGGGCAAGTTAAAAACCTAAAGCAGTTCTTCGTTCTCACCCAACAGTCTAGATTTGTCAAAATACTTGTTCACGTCTGCAGATGCAGTTGGATAATTTAAAGAAGTATAGAGCACAGATCAAATTACACAAGGGCAATTCTTGTCTACTTCTTGGCTGGCAGGAATTGATTAAGTCATCTGGTCTCCTTGGCAGTTGATAAAACTGTCAAGAGGGCAAGGTAAATGTAACAAGAGAGAAAGGGATACAATTTCAAGAAGGCAGTGCAACTTTGGAAGAGTGGCCTAAGTGTTTAGTAGGTGAAACACTGATCCCTCAGGTGTTCTTGCCGTTACATTGATGATAAGAAGGGCCAATAAAAATCTTCATTTTCCTAGCAGTGCCCAGCGCCACCCACCTCACTCCCGTTCATGGGTGACTTGAAGCCGCCCTTGCGGATGTAGAAGAGGAGGTAGGCGTTCTGGTTCAGGACCCGCTGTAGGCTGACCTGGCTGACAAAGGCATCGTTCATGCAGTACCAGCTCTGGTTGGCCGCCTTGACAAAGCAGTAGTAGTGGCCGGAGTTGCAGGAGGCGCCCTCGTGCTTCAGGACTGCGTACAGCTCGTACATGATTGGCTCACCCTGAGGGTCAAATACGAATGACCCATGAAGTGTAAAAATAAACCAAGTTCTGTAATACACGATGGTCCACTGCAGGAAACCCTGAGCGTATGGCACTTTAATGCCATAAAATATGACATAAAATATTACAAAACTTAGCAGTCAACACGAAAAAGCACACTCTCTTCCTCAGTGCAACTGTCGCAATCATAACACACGTATACAGTTCTGTTCCTAACTCCTGGAAAAGCTTTTTAAGAACAATTTTGTTACAAGAGCAGCTTAATAATAAACAATGGGACAAAAAGTTAATTCACCAGACAGGTATTTATCCAGTTCATAAGAGTAATGTCACTTCAGTTTAAACCACGCCCACTGCACACATGCACTGCACATCGGGTTACATGCATTGATCGCCGTTCACATGGAACCGGAAGTTAACTCGCAACTTCTGCCATCGTCCGATGGGAGTCTGCGAATCGTGGCGCATCAGCCTTTGCGACGAAGTCACTTACGAACCAGATAAAGCTCATGTATGGGTTTCACTATAACGACCTTTGACCCTTGTTCCCAGGAGCAAAAAAAGACAATACTTTAATAGTTCTCTTTGCTGCTATTTTTAGCCCACTTTTAACCCAACAAGAAGTTCAAAAACACCAACTGTCTCCGTCTTCACAAGTGTTTATTTTACTCCTTACTGGGGAGAAGCAATTAACAGTATAAATTTCTGTGGTAGGATGGTGCTTTGTAGGATGGCTCTGTAGAGGTGCTGGTCATTGTTCCATCTTGCCATTCACTGGCTTTTTGGAGCATATTATTTTTTTAAAGCCGTCACCTGTTTGCTGTAGTGCCATGTCAATTGTTTTATGTTTATGTTTTTAATGTAATTAATATTTTTGGTTTAAAGGCCAGTGGAAAAGTGTAATAAAATAAAATAAATAGTGACGAGGTATCTTGCCCGAAGAAAGACAAATTGCAATCCCACTATTAGGGCTTGAACTGCTGATCTGCAGAATTTGCCACGAGATTTTGAGTTTCTTGATCCAGATGACACATGAGTGGATAATGAGCAGCCCGAATGTTAACTGAGTTCAGACTATTCTCACCTTTGGGTCACTCATGTAAGACCTTAGATTGAGGTGCTCTGGGTATGTTAGATCTTTTTTGATCTTCCCCATACCGAGTATTATCTGAGTTTTGAGTATGCTCACCTTTGGGTCACTCATGTAGGACCTCATATTGAGGTGCTCTGGGTATGTTAGATCTTCATTGATCTTCCCCATACTGAGTATTATCAGAGTTTTGAGTATACTCACCTTTATGTCCCTCATGTTAGACATCAGATTGAGGCACTCTGGGTATGTTAGATTTTTATTGATCTTCCCCATACTGAGTATTATCTGAGTTTTGAGTATTCTCACCTTTGGGTCACTCATGTAGGGCCTCAGATTGAGGTGCTCTGGATAGCTTAGATCTTTGTTGATCTTCCCCATACTGAATCGGTTGAACTCAAACCTGAGAAAAAAATCAATTCTGCATTACAACTGGCCAATTTGGGGCTGGGCACATTACCAATTTTCAACATAATGTACACAATCATGTAGTGTCTATGACAGAAGAACAGATCCAATAGCATGTAGGTGCTTTTTTATGCATAAAGGTGCATTCGTCTGTACACGTAGGTGCAGTCTTCATGCACATAGGTTTGCCATTTCCTGCATGCAGGTGCATTCTTCTGTTTGAAAGGCACTCCAGGCTTGTGCACATTCTGGCAAAAATTGAAAACGCATTTACTTTTTACTTCTAACTGCATAATTAATGAACAAAGCCCACATCGCAAGTGGCTAGCTTCTCTCAAAAATAAAAAGAAAATTGGCAGTTTGACAGCATTAGATGGCTGCTTCCGTACCTCTTTAGACAGAGAGTGAGCACGGCTGGGACTCGCTGAATGGTAAACCTCTTCTGGGCTTTGACTTTGCGATTACACCTACAAATGACAGGATCAAAAGAGTATATACCATATCGACGAAAATGTGACACTTGGTTTGTATTCAGTAACTCACACTAAATGCTACGATGTGCAAACTGTGGTTGACCATACGCACAAGCTGATCGATGCTCGTATGGTCTGGGTGCTCACTTACTTCTTGCAGTGATAGAGATTCTCTCCGTCCAGCATCTCTGGCCGGATCAGTCTCTCCAGGGCCTTGGTCACTGATGGCGCTTGCTGTAGAGACGTCGAGAAATGATGCAAAAGAGTCAAGTGCTAAGGAGGGACATGGAACATAAGAAGTATTCCAAATACCAAACAGTTTGTGAAATGAAAGAAGATTCCTTGAAAGCTAGTCTTAAACTTTTAAGGCTTTCTGGAAAGCAATTGAAAAGAATGCAAATTAAAGACTTTGCAATTACAGGCCTTCTGTGTCAGGCAGTTTTATTTTCATTATTATTAATTATTGTTGATGAAAAAGCAGGATTCCTCGAAAACACCCATAAGCCCAAAGAAACCTGTAGAGAGGAGATAATGAGAAGCAGTTACAGTTTTAAGGGTGAGAGGAAAACCCCAGAAGAATGTTCTGGGTAGAACCCATGAAATCAGGTAGGGACTGAAAAGCCAATCCACAAGTGGACTGAGCCAGGTCGCTGACATGAAAGATAAGGAAAGAAACACTACACTGGTTTGACCCCCAATTCTGATAAATGGGTTGTAGGATCCACAGACAGATTTGTCACTTTTGGAATATTCAAGACTTAATGGGTCACTGATCCACTCTTGGATGTATTAAAATTTTGGAAAGGAACCCTTCTGAAAGCTCCTAAATCTGACAGCAAGCAAGATACTAATGAACATTGCTTGAACAATACTTGAATTTCTAGGGGCATCAAGTCATAAAGAAACAGTGGCTGGCCTGTATTTTCCTCAATCCTATGAAATCTTACAAAACTTGGTGGGATTTGAAGGATCTGGGAGGAAAGGTCACAAAAACAGACAGAAAACATACGACTCACTCCAAATGTGTTAGGTCTCTACAACTGTGCGAAGAATCTTACCTTTATATCCAATCCGATATCCAGGAAAGGGTCAAATGTGTCCGACTTGGTTTGACAGACTGAACATATTACTGCCGGGGGGAAAAGAAGCTTTCAAATTCAATACACCATCAAATAAAATACAGTTTATGCTCGGGAAGACAAATGAAATGGCTTGAGTTTAATATTACACAACATGAACATTTTAACAAGGTAACATCTGGTAGCCGTGAAATGAATTGTTTGTGAAAAAAAATCTTTATGAGAGAAACGGTAAATCATGTAATTGTAATATTTGTCTGTTCCCCAGATAATAGTCTGTTTCCACTGAGCTTTAACAGTAACTCTCCTTAGTCCTCCAAAATCCTTTGGGCGGTTTCGGAGGATTTTGGAGGATTGAGGGTGAATGGCTAAGTGCACGGTTGATGTCGAAGGATGCCATGAGTGAAGGTCGTGGGTTAGACCTTGTGTTGTTCTTGGTCAGTCCTGTGTAAATTCGGCCCGATATTTCTCTTGAATCAACCACACTGCTCAAGAATGCCATTTGCACTGCCTCAACATAATGACAGGACTTGCCAGAGGATTTTGAAGGATTGAGGCAGTAGGCAGACCTCCAAGTGACATTTTCAAGAAATGTTGGAGGATTTTGAAGGACTAAGGGAGAATTCAATTTTTTCACTCCCCCGAATTGGAGGATTCTGGAGGATTGAGGAGGGTCCCTAGCAAAAAGGCCGAGAATCTTAGGCTGTTTCCGAAATATGCTTCCAGAGCTATGGCTATGTCTACTGTCAGCGCACCTCTGCATATTTTCAATGGAGCAACGACCTTGACCTAGCCCTAGAACAACAGATTCGGATGCAGCCTTACTTTGCACAAAAGCTGCCCCTCAAAGTCTAGTCTCCTCCTCCATAAAGGGAACCTTACCTCGACTCCTGTAGTAGCCACTGAAGATTTGATACACCAGACTGGTCTCCTTGCTGTACTTATCCAACCTGGAAACCAAAGTGGGTTTGATTTTCATTGACGTATTTACAACTTGAGGTGTTTCATAGCAACTTCTCACTATGTTGGAAATACAGCAGTGCTGGGAGGATTAATCTTGGGCACTGCTAAAGGACGTGTTGCGTGCATGCACTGATATGGGCATAGAACTGGCAGGGATAGCACAAACAATATTTTCAACGGAATGTGCACAGAGCCACAACATCTTTGACATAAAGGGATGCACCAGATCATGAAATGGTATTTGTAAGTCTGACATCTGATCGTACTGACAGGCCTATCTGGCTGAACACTCACTTGTCAAATCCGTTAATGCAGGATTTCTGCATGGCCTCGATGAGCAAGCGCAGGAACTCGTGGGCGTCCTCCTGTCTGCCTATGTGCATGTGCTTGGCAAAGTCTGTGATAGGGAAATGCAATGGGCATGAATGCATTCAGTCTCGCACCAACAAGCTACTGGTGGGTACCTTCAACAGCATCTATGAAAACTGAAGGTCAATTTGAAGGAGGCATTTTCAAATACTCGTGACTGAATTCCTTACTTCAGCTTCTGGAAGACTTCTGTGGCACACAATGCTGTGTGCTCGCAGCATTTCTTGTGTGAGGCAATTCTGCGACATTTTCTTCTTTTTTGAATGGAAACATAGCCCACAACTGTACATAAACAGGAGAATTACATACATTAGATTGGGGAGTTGGGCTGGGTGCAAGGGCCACAGATGAATCTGAGGTTTGAGAAGTGGCCAAGGCTAGGTTCTGGACTCACGTTTGAGTTTATGGAGTATGACCATCGGCCGGATGGCCTGACCATTTTGTTGGTGGTTGAAGGTCCGATGGACGTGGTTACACAGCTCACACATGATGCAGAACCCAAGCTCACGACCTGTTGAGGTCAACGGTTCAGGTTAGAAGTGACAAAGGCTAGGTATTGTTCAGAGGCCAAGAGACACTCTGCTATAACATGTGGCATAGATGTGACAAAGAAATGACTTTCTGGACTTACACTCATTCTTGTGCTGATGTGTAAGGAGGTAATTGGTCAGCGGTGGTGTGTAGGTCAGGCACTGCAGCGTTGCATTCAGGAAACAGGTGTTGCCCATGTTAATGAGGCCCGGCCCCACCCGCTGACAACGCTGCCAGGCCAGCATGATCTTATCCGACGGGTAAAGGATCTTCTTGGGGGCTGGGATGCCATCATGTCTCATCTCAACTTGACCATTCATTTGACCTGGGGGGGGGAATATAAAAATTGAAACACATGGTATATTCGCTGAACAGCTTAAAGTCTTCCACTTTTGATATGGTTTGCGTACAGTCTAAGGAGTCAGCGGTATCCCCTCATCTTGCTTTATGTTTCAAAGCCCATAAAGCAATTTGAGACAAGTAGAAATATTGTACTGGAAAGTGAGGGGCCACATGCAAAAACTCTAAAACAGCTGGCAAAAAAAATGGATTTAAAAAGTTCCCATATTCTATAAAAATCTGAAATTCAGAGTAAACAAAAAAGGCTGAAATCAGCTAAAAAACAGTGACAGTGACAAGTGTACTGCTAAAGTAAGCATAATTATATTTGGCAAAACAGATGCCTCGTGGTAAGAAATTTCAACATTCCTTTCAAAGTTTGTCAGTTCGAAGAAAAAAAAGTTATCATGGCCCCCAAGTGGGACCAAGGGAAGGCACAATTTTCCTGGTAATGGAGGCTCCTTTGGTGGGAACTACACTTTGCTGGTTTGCAAACAACTTTGAAATGCAAGCCTTAACTCTAACCCTGCTAAAAGCAGCAGAATGCACCAGAGGTAAAAAGTTGTTGCAAGTTGGTGCATTTAGCAGGCAACACAAGTCTTCTGGTGGTATGCATTCTGGTGCCTTTAGCAGGGTCCTTGGCAAATACCCCTTGGGGGTTAGGGTTAAGGACCCATCGCTACCAACAGCACCAACAATTCCCACCAACCAACGAGGAGGTGCTTTTGCTCAAAGCAGATTGCATGCATAGGAACAAAATGATGATACCTATGTGGAACTAGTTCAATGGTTGCAGAGGAAATTCCCCCTGCAAACGCTTCTGAAACAAGTATGGACTTACTGTGGTTGTTGCTGGATGCGGACCTCGACTCTTCTGCCTCTGGCTGGCTGGGGTTCAGTGCCACATACTTCACGCGGAGGTTCTGCAGCTGGAAAGAGACGTCCCTCTCGGCCTGGTGGAAGTCGATGCTCTTGTGCAGCACCTGCTTGGAGGAGGCCACCAGGTGCTGGTCTAGGTCCAGCTCGGTACCAGACTGCTGTTCTGCAGCCTCCCTAGGCTGCGGGTCCGCGGCTGTACCACTACCAGGGATGCAGGTTTTCAGAAGGCCCCTTTTAAGGGTTTGGTCAATCGTCATCACTGGACGGGAACCTGTTGGGAAAGGCAGTGTTTGGGCATTCATTGCCATTAGCACCCTGTTCCCATAATCCAAAGTCTACCTTTTCAAAACAACTCACCTAAATGAGTTGGCAATGATGTCCTCTTCCATATCAGAAAGAAAAGAGGAACGTGGTTTTTTTGAGAGAGAGAGATTATGGGGCAAAACGGCAATGTAAATGATGCGACAAAGAGCTGTGAACGAAGACGAATCAGCGCATGTAGTCTTATTCCTTGATCTGGAACCGTAAAGTTTCTTTTATGAAATTCAGTATATCCACAATGGCTGGGTTGGGTAATAAGACATGAAACAAAATGGTGTGATGCGGTCGTCTTTTGCTGAACTTGGGTAAATAATTCTGGTTTTCTTGTTGAAATATTATCAAAATTTACCTAAACTAGAGCTACTAGGATTAAGGAATGCATCTTCAAGGTCTGAATTTTAGTTAGTTTGAAAAGTGGACTTCATTTTGCTCATTACAGGAACAGGGTGCTAATGGTAATACACGCCAGCATTTGAATCACTTCGGGCCTATTGGATAACATCAGCCCTAACCTACCCAAACCTCAGAAACGAACACCAGGTTTTCAAGGTTTGTGGGAGATTCAGACCTATTGGGTTTGATACCTAAAACCTGTTTAACTGTAACCTTCTCGGATCCTTCAAAATCTACCCTAATGTTTTGGAAGTTTTGTAGGATTCAGACAATTTAAGAGCAAAGCAACTCATATTTTACAGAGACTTTGCAGCCCCTTGAGAGCTTTAAAAAGTAGATGTATGTACACAGAATACATGTACGTGTATTTCACATATTTACTGCAGAATGAAGGATTTTGAAAGGTTTTCTCACCTACAGAATTAGGGTAGGCCTAAGTTTACATTAGCTATATCAGAAAGTGATGACATGTCCTTAAACGTCAAAGTTAGCAGTGAAAGTATTTAAGTGTTTACTAAGAAAACACAGAGTTTTCCAGACCAGTCTCAAACATACATACAGACAGCTTGTGCACAGCCACAGCCTAGCCTGGCGCTTAAGTTTATGCCTGGAGGGACAGGGTGTCAAGTGATGCCAGCATGTGGAACTCCTTCCCAAGAAATGTGTTGTGTTAAATGGCAAGTACTTGGTGACCGCACATACAACTCTATCTCAATTGACAGCACAGAGTGATGAACCACTGCTGGTAAGAGCGAATATTCACCGACGCGCACCCAACAATTTCAACGTCCATGAGGTAGGCCTATCGTTAAGATCCACGGTCCGGAAACTGGGCACCTTCGCGCTGATGACATTTGTGATTTTGTAACACGTGCAAATTTAACCACTGCAAAAAGTGAGAAGATTAATCACGCAAATTTACCTTACTTGTTTCTTGAATTCTGACCTTCAGGCATTCTTCTCCTTGATTAAACACACAATGTACCGGCACTTTCCACTTGAATTCAGAAAAAATAACCGCACCAACTGCACGAGGAAAGACATAGTACATCCGGGCACTTGAATTTAAAAATGGTTATAATACTATAACAGAAATGAAAATCGAAAGGTAGTCTTAATTAAAGGAAAACATATTAAAAATCCATTACACTGAATAAAATAAATGATAAACAATTAAAATAGATTCTAAGTTTATTAAAGTGAAATTTAAAAGATACGAGAAAAAAAACAAAATGAGGTTGGACGAAATTTATTTGAACGAGACTAAAATGCTTATCTCAGCAACAAAAATGGCTGCGCCCACGAGACTCTTTATCCAAGGAAGTTACACATTGTTTTCGTGTTCAGTTTCCACAGTGAATGTATGTAAAGAACAATTATCTTTTCGTTTGAGGTATTTAAGACAGTTTAATTTCCGTTGGTGTGGAAAGACAACACATTCCCAGACAAAATCGAACATACGCCTAGCGACGATGCAGCTAACAACATGGACGTGGTCATCGCATCATCAACATGGTCAATCATATGGACGCAGGCCTAGACAGGGTTTGTGCGCTGATGTGCGCTCTTTGTCCACGACGTGCAAAACAGCCCAGTTGATGTTTTTTAAGAGATGGATGACAACCGGTCTAACAGATGACATGCTAAGAAAAGAGATGGACACGTTGACTGACAAGTTTATGGAGGCAAAAGAACTCCTAGATGATGCAGTGAGTTCATGGAGTTTCATTCATCTGGTTTAATTTAGCATGTTTAGGGAAGAGTTCCATACATGATTCCCTACACAGTGACCTATTAGCCGTCAGAAAGCAAAAACATGTCCAGAAAAGTTCCATTTAGGGGGGAAAATACCGAGTTGTTTACTTAGAAAACACTTAGAATTTTCAGACCAGTCTCTTAGGGTTTGTGCACGGGGTGTTAAGTGGCATTCGTATATGGAACTCTTTTCTTTTCAAGTTGGATCAAATCCACAAAGGCTCCTATCAAAAAACCAAACCCTAAATTCTGCAGATATTTAGTTTGGTACAGGTATTACTGTTAGTTGTGTACATGCTATAAGGACATGATGGATGTGTCAAAAAAAAAGTAAGAGTTCCATCGATCTTACGGTGTCACTTATTCCATCCACTGCTTAAGTGAGTGCACAGCTTTGACAGTCATTTCCTGTTTATTGACAGTGCCCTAAATGCAATTAATGCACGTACCATCTTAACTTGCATTAGGCCTCCATTGTTCAGCTTACCATCACCCCCCCCCCGGAAAGCACTAAGGGCTGACATGTACCAATGATTCTAAAGATGAAGCCAATACCAAAGGCCCAAATGTTGTGTTGCTAGAAAAGTAAAGTGAGTGAGCCATCTTTCATAATTATCCACATCCTGTCAACAGCGTGATTCGATGGGTTCAGTTTACTTCAACGAAGATCTCCAAGATGCCGACAGGGCAGTGGAGGAGACACTGGCCGAGTACAAGCACCTGCTGTCTCAGCTTGACGAAGCACAGAGGCAGACTGTGACCAGGTCGATTGGACTCAGGATGGAAGAGCTTGCAGCACAGCAGAAAATGATCCGGGAAACCCTCGGGGACTGATGCGGGATTAGGAACTGTCACGTCTCGTGCACAAAATATGAAAGTAAAATATGTAACAACTACATGTATGATAATTGTGATTTGCTGGAAGATTGTCACACGTAATGTATTACAGGGTATTAGGCGGCATATTGGAGAATTAGGTGTCCGTATTGTTGTTTGAATTAAAATAAAAAACAGGGTGTCTTAAATGCTTTCACTGAAATGCTCCAAGTGTGACATTTTAAAGTCCACCAGGAGGGATGACGAGGTCCCAGAGAATTTTAGCCATTTAGGCTTTAAAACAATGCATTGTTCATAGCATAGTGGACAAGTTTCTATTTAATGATCAATTTATGCAAAGCATTAAGCAACCCACGCCAAAGTTCCACTTTAACTTAAATGCTGCAATTTGGCTTCTTCAGTGTTTTATTTTCCTGTTGTTTCTCAATTCAGAATATACAAGTAATGAATAGTATTGTTCTTCCCACTTGCACCCCCTTCTAGTAAATATTTCAAATTGATGCTTGGATGTTCTCACACCAACTGAAATGGAGAAACGAGGGAGCTGTTAACAGTTACAGGACTTCCAAAATGAATGATAGATTTGGCCAGTTGAAAAAATGCAGTGGATTCCAAGTGAATGAAAGGCATATGACCAAATTCATGGCTTTTCAGATCAACCTTGCTGTCAGCTTATTTAAATGCATGACGTTGAGTTTGGTTTTAGGTACCTATAGGATTTTTCTGGATTTCTTTATTTCCAGTTAGGGGGAGGTTTATTAGGATTTTTCCTGATTTCAGGATCTCTCAAACTATCTGTTCAGACATCTGGAAATCCGAGTTCATCTTATGGCATTTCCATGCATGACAGCTGATATAGAACGCAAGAAATGAGCTTTAAAGGATGCAAAGAGAGACCCTTCACTGCTGTGAGGCCATGACCAAACCCTTTCATGATTATTTCATGGATATTTTATTTTTCTTCCAACCCCACGCTCTGCACACTGCATCAACGTTAAACAGGAATTTTCTCTTAAATGGTTCCAGATTGTGCAAGACGTGGTTGTGACATGAATTTTGTCAAAGTATGCAGATTAATACTATAACGGGTAAATACAAAGTCAGCCTGAAGCATTATGTATTTGAAGTGGCATTTTTGTACTCCTTGGAATAAGACAAACTGTATAGTATTTTGTAGACGAGTGTTGACGTGCATAGGGGTTTATGCTAAAATGATTACATCATTTAACCCCTTCACGCCGGGATTCTTTTGACCGTGACTGCTTGGCTGTGGTATGCCCTGAATGGAGGGCTTTGTCCAGCAGCAGGTCCCATTGAACCAGCAGCTGCATGGTGAATAGACTGTATGTGTGGTAGGCACTAAATCCTCACACAAAGCCGTGGCTCTTGCCATCTCCCAGAGCGAAGGGGTTAAAACAAGTTTTTGGAATACACAACACATGAACAACACTCCTCAGACACTGTTCAGGTTCAAAGTTTTAATTTTACCGAATAATGCATGTGACTGTTCTTACAGACATACATGTATGTATCCTTATATGTAAACATAACAATACGGACGGAGAGCAATATGTACACACAGGGTACATGGGTTCGATGGACGGAGAGCAATATGTACACAAAGGGTACATGGGTTCGATGGGCGGGGAGCAATATGTACACAAAGGGTACATGGGTTCGATGGACGGAGAGCAATATGTACACACAGGGTACATGGGTTAGATGGGCGGGGAGCAATATGTACACACAGGGTACATGGGTTAGATGGACGGAGAGCAATATGTACACAAAGGGTACATGGGTTCGATGGACGGAGAGCAATATGTACACACAGGGTACATGGGTTAGATGGGCGGGGAGCAATATGTACACAAAGGGTACATGGGTTCGATGAACAATGAGCCTTTTCACCGTGTAAATCAAAGCGTGCAGAGCATGCAGGGCCACAAACCGAGAATTTGCAGTTTGGCAGGTGGCCTTTGTGGCCAAGCTAGGCTGGAATTCTCGGAGTCGGCTTTCAGAAAAAAGTCCCGGCGTCAAGTGGTTAATGATAACAACTAAATGGATGATTCATAGTGATTACATAGAGTTTAGATTCAGAATTGGATTTAATATAAATTATAAAGCTGCCATCACATTCTGTTAAAATAAAAACATAATATAAACATTTATAAAAAGCATATATCTTTTCAAAATCTGAACACAGGTGCAAAAACAGCATGGATCATACAAGGTATGTAAAATAAAGACATTCAAGAAGTATAAAAGTTGTTCATTGGAATCATGTGAATGTTTTTAGCTTGTGTTATTTGTATAGATGTGTGCATGCTTGAATGGAAATACTGTGACAGCCAATGCCCCTCCTTCTTGAGGTTTATCCAGATAAGAAGGTTTTTAGGGTTCATTAGTGGATGTGTTTTGTTTCAATAACGGGTGGGATTGACAACCTGTTGCAAGCACGGCCAGTGGAAGTAGAGGTGGGAGTGGCTTGTGTGTATCTGCCCACTCTGTAGAAAAACACGGCTTTACTCCCCCATTTTTATATCCAACATGATGGAGACATGTATCCCTTTTCCCCGCCCCTCCTACATTCCGAAAGGTTCAGTACTGTAGTGAAGACTTCACTTCAGTGAAACTGTTAGTGGTAAAACTGGTGATCAAGTCTCAGGGAACATTCACTTCAAGATGGTATCAAGGGGGAGGGGCTAAATGAAAACGTCGGGAGGGGTAGTAACTTCCCCCACCCCCGGGGCCTGCTGATCATGTATTGGAGTGGAGGCTAGACACAGATTCTCTGAAGATGGACAGTTCCTCCAGTTCATTGCTGATGTCGAACTTGTCAGCAATTTTCCGCAAGGTGTCTGTGTGCCGCTTGAGGACTTCATCCAACATGGAAATCCTGTCCGACCAAAAACATCAAAACCATGTGTGTATGATTTATATGTATAGTTCTTTCACAGCAGACAGATCTATAATGCATTTGTCCACATTTTAAGATCTTGCACTTCCAAGTTAAGTCATCAACCTATTCAAATTGTTAGTTTGTCACCCCAGATATTGGAAGACTGTTGTCAAATGTCCAGTTTACAATTACATGGTTCATGACCTTGCATATCTATTACCAGGGCCGACACATGTAAAGTGTATTATTAGTAGGGTGAGCATTCCATACCAGAATACTAAGTACGTCATTTTGTGACGTCATTTTGAACCCCCAAATGCAAACAAATGGAGTAAGCGCACACGTGTTGGTTTACGAGCTGATTCTCACGCTGATGCCTTTTTACACACATTTGAACGCCTAGCGTATTCACTTTGGCAATCTGTACAACTTCTTCATCTATTATCTAGCAGGCAAGGGCACAGATGTCATTGGTCACATCTGCGGTCTATCAGCAAATCACAACCTTTGTTTCTTGGTGACGTGCATGACATAATACTGATGAATGTGGTATAGGACACATGTTTGTCCACCCTATAGGACACACGTTTGTCAACCCTAGGTAGCACAGCATCCTTAGCTTCACTGTCAGTGTTGTGTACCCTTGAATAAAAATTTAACAAGGCAAATCAAACAGTCCATTTTATTTGATGAATTGAGCATTTTTTCTCTCTCAACTAGCCAGTGTTTTGCGAGTGGCCCTGTGGTTGGGTGTTCCACATAGATTAGGCCTCCTACCCCGACTATTCAGCTAACTTCATTGCAAATTCTTACATCATACGATTGCGGTGGAGTTCAGTGACAATCTCCTCTGTGGAAGGCTCGCTATTTTTCGATTGGTCATCCTTGGTGACAAATGCACCACCAAACAAAAAACGTTTTGCCTGCGAGAAGTAAGCAGAATAAAAATGAAAGATAGCATTTTTATTTTTACCGCTTAGCTACTTGTGTTATTCTCGCAGATAATGAAGCTTAAGAACATTCAGAAAGAATGTTTTCCAAAAAATTTCTGAACAAAGACTCGGTAGCGTGTCCTGCAAATTGTACAATGTTTCCTAGCAGTGCTTAAGTTGAGTACATTTTTTTCCACTTTGAGTACACGTATTTAAAAAAAGCGTGAGTAAAAGTAAAAGGCAATATTCCTCTTTGAGTTTGAGTATGAGTGCTTTACCATGAGTAAGGATGCAAAAAAGTCCTTGAGGTGAGTCACAAGTATTGTGAGTATGACAACACAGCAGTGTATGAAATTTAGTGCGAACCATTTTAATTATTCTTACCACACATTTTCGATACTTGAATTTGAATCCTATTTTATCATTGCTTGTTACAGTTATTTCAAGGATAGATTTGTGTTGGGGAGATGTAAATTAATTTTGGATTGTTTTTTTTTTGGCCTTGCCCGTTTTACATCTCCCCGGCGCAAATCCATCCTTGAAATAGTTGTTCGTGGTACCCGCTGCTACATCTGATTCGAACCAACCGGCCGAAACCGGCAACCTCCGTGGTCGAGTGGTTAAGACGTTTGCACTAGTAAGCAGGAGGTCGTGCGTTCGAGTCCCACACGAGTACGCTTGTGGTTTTTCACAAGCCTTCGGGGGCATACATTGTGCATACAGTGTTAAAATACACGCGGGGCAGGGCAAAAAATCCCCCCCCCCCGAAAAAAATTAATGTTACAGTTTATACCCACCTTAGTCCATGTCCTCTTGTTTGCTTTGTTGGGTCTCATTGTCACTTTGGACTCGTAGATTCTTCGCTGCAGAAACTTTGGCAGTTTAGTCTCATAGCCCCAAATCAGGTCCACCTGAATTGAGGTCAAAAGAAAGCAGTAGATTTCTCTCAATTTTAACTAGAGAAAGATAAAATCGAAACTGGGAAAAGATTGGAGATGAATGGATAAAAGAAGCGTAAAAAGGCCTTTGTTTAAAGGACCATGATGCTTTGAAAGAGTTCTGATGGAGCCCATTCTCTTAGGGATTTATAATTTACATAATGATATAATTTGCTGATGAAACCGCAATCAACCATTTTTGACTTACCAAAATCTGCTGCTGTTTCAGATAGGCAGATTTGAAGATTGCTTCGATATCACCCACCGCTATACCAATCTGCAGAAACATGCATGTAAAAATCAGTTCATGTTCTTCGTTGACGGCATAAATACACAGTGAAACTTTTCATGCATAATGGAAACATAAGTTTCTGGTAGTCAGATCGTCTTTGCTTATTTCGGGGTCATGGTCCATTTGTCACTGTCAATGTCAACTGTTATTGGCTGTGCTATATTTTAGAGATACTTTGATCAATGCGCATGTGTGGGACATTTGAACACTGCGCACACATACTCCTGCTCTGTAGTTGTGGGGACATACGTTTCATATTTCACCTATTTTCTGATGACAAAGAAAATGTCCCCACAACTCAGTCCAAATTTGCCTAACCAAAAACTTGTCCCCTTAACGCAATAACACACCCCCTTAACACAGTGAATGCCTAGCCACATACTCATGATGGCACATACGCACTTGAAATTTTCCTACAAAAAGGATTCCACATGAAAGAGATCTGGTGTCCCCATCAAAGGTCAAGCTTTTATACTTCCTGCTTTTGTCTTTGATTACATTTTTTTGCAACTGCTCATGGATGTCATCAGGAAGGGGCCATGTCTCTTTTGGGGGGGGCGGCATTCATCAGACTTGCCAACAATAAATAGATGAGGGTTGCCAATTTGGAGGAATTTTCAAGGAAATGGGTGATTTCAATGCTGTTTTCCCCTAGTCTTTTTCTTGTCTTTCCTTTTCTTGTCATTCTTTCTTGAAAATTGATTTGTAGCTGTCATTTGTCAGTGCCACTGGTGCACTCCCCCACCATAAGATACTGAGCTAGATCAGCCATAGTTTTCGTTGCTGTCATTAGATTCCCGACAGTTGTCACAGTCAGTTTGTCTCTGTCATTGTCACTGGTTGTCATCAGTGTCTTGGAGTGAAACTGTGGAATGGCCCCAAAAGGGACAAAAACTGTAACGACAGAAAGGCAACTCTGAGGGACTAATCATTGTCCTTCCTTCCCTGAAAATCCCCAAAATTTAGAATCATCCCGCAAAATGGCCAGAAGAATTAAGTTACTCCAAGAAATTCCCACAACACATGTTCTGAATCCACCCTTGCTGGTCGCCACTCACCGTCAGGTTCATCAGAACCATGGGCATCATGAACAGGAAGAGAATAAAGAGGATGTGTCCGGCATGCTCAAACGGGCTGAGGGAAATGCCGGCATCAAAGATGTCCGACTTGTTGATTTCTCCTAAAGTCATGACGAAGGTAGTCAAGAGTGCATCACCAGGACTGCGGAAGGCATCCTGGAGATGGGGGGGAAAAAGTATTGATAAAGGCTGCTGGAACTCGGTACAGCTGAAGATGGTGAGAACAGCGGAAGATACTTTTCATAGAATAAAGTAAACAGGCTCAGTCCAATAAAATTAACTCAGGCCTACAAAACTGTTTCTTGTGGGAAGGGCAATAAATACTCGCCAATCGTGTGATTTTATTTTTTAAGTCAAAATTTCCACTACCCTATTTTCAACATTATTTCATGCAGTGTAGAAGGTTAAATATACTCACGATAACATGTCACTTGCTCTCATAATTTTCTAATATAACAGTTTTTCTTGAAGGTTTATGAAACTTGCAGAATAAATGACATGGCAAATATTTGAGTACTCACCAAGCGAGAAAAACAAATGTAGAAGCAGAGACCAAAGGATAAGAAGAAAAACACGTACACAACCATGGCCTGCCCGAAAATAAAAATACCAGAATTTCTCAGGAAGGTACACATGAAAAGCAGACGATAAAAACGTGGAAAAAGAACAAGAGAAATTAGTTGAATTTCTTCGGGGGAAAAACATGCAAAAAAATAGGCTATTCAAAAGTGATCCAAGATTCTGAGTAATGTTTGCACTATTTATTCAGCCAATATGTCACTTGCTAAATTCTGTACCTACCTTTAGAAGGGAACTGGAGGTTGTGAGAAACATCCCAACATAGATACCAAAGTATCTGATTCTATGAAAGAAGAGAACATAAAAAAAATTAACTAATTCACCAAGGAGTCATGAGATCATGTTGCTTTCAACCTCATTAATGCTACTTTATTTTAGTTGATTTTTATTTGTTGATCTGTTTGTCATTTTTTTTTTAATTTTGAATTTTTGCCCCCTGAAATGCCAGAAAGCCCTCACAATGCCATTTTTATATAACGCCAGTTGCATGAGTGTGTGTGTTTCTCCCAAAACAAAATGTTAGAAAGATGGAATTCCCTTGATGTACAAATGCACTTTATCTTCATAATCCCCAGCATTAACAAAAGCACACAGGAGATTAAGGCAGCTAAAGTATATTCGAAAGGCCCTCCGTTTTTTTTACCTTTTTAGCTCCAAAAATAAGGAGAAATCTAAATTGTCACAAATTTGTTTCTGGTTTATGGAGCCACAAAGGAACTAGGTGGCTGACCTAACATTCGCTCTATCAAATAACTTGGTAATTATTGCAGCCCTACTCTTCTTGTTTGGAAAATGAAGGAATCTTATTTTTAAAATTTCAGCAGCGAGAAAAATTTGCAAAAAGTTGCAAAAAAATGGGGACATCGTGTGTGATGTGATTTGTACATTTATTCTATGGAAGACAATGCAGCAGATGGTTAAGATTATTATATTGGCAGATATAGCCAAGCCCCCCCCCAAAGAATTGTTAGATTTTGTGGGAAATGTGAGTAAGAAGATTATGTTACACTATTACATTTCACTTTCCTCTGTAAAACTTCCCCAAAATGTAGCTTTGCTCCTCAGAAAGAACCCCCCCCAAATTTTGATCTCTCCCCTGAAAAATGAATTCTGGATTCATCTTTGGGTTGGAACACACACTGCTGATCAATTGATTCGAATTAAATAATTTGTTAATACAACAGGATGTTAATCATCTTACGGTTGTAGGTAGAGGAGGAAATGGATCCCGGCTAGGAAGTTTGCAATGGCGCCAGCATTCCATGCCAACGAGCAAGGCGGGTAGAAAGGTGGATAAGTGAATATAAGAGAGCTCGCGCACAGCAAGATGGCCACGTAGTTTGAAATGGCCAAAAAGAAGGCAACCCTCTAGAAAAGAAATATAAAAGGTAGGATGAAACCTCTGCAGAAAGCTGCTCGTATCATAACACCACCAAATTGTTTTTCAACTGAAATTCTACCTTCGATCCTAGAAGAATCTTTCTTTCTTTTCGAGAAAGTCAGGCCCTCCATATTTTGAGAATTGTATTTTTGGTCACTGTAGTCAGCAAGCAGTTTGCAGCAGTTTTGTATTACATATCTTGGAAATTCTACCTTGTGTTATCTGTAAATGCAGTTTAACTTCAAGCTTTGTCCAAACTAAACTTGTAAAAGTTTAAGGTCAGAGTTTGAGTCAAGTTTCATGACCTAAAGAAGGAATTACCAGAATTGTCAATAGCTGCAGAGAAAATGGATTGTAACGCTGCTGACCCCCAAACAGTCTGAGACAAAACCGCGGTTTTTTAAATTGGGAAAAATGTTGAAAAATAACTAAAGTAACAGCACCAGTCTCACTGTATGTCATGTAAAGTTTCATCATTGTTTCTTCTCCGAAAGAAATGAGACACAAAAATCTCCGGCCTGACAACCCCCCCAATGAAAAATTCCGGGATCTCCCCTGTAAGGGCAGGGGTGACTTTACAGCCTAGCAACAAACAGCCAACCACAGATGCTCAGCAATGCCTACCAATTGTAAAAGATGCAGAAACTTCATCACGAGAAGAAACAAGCAGTAGATGCTAATCAAACTCTGGCTTACCCACAGCCAGGGATCAGCAATTCGGATGACAATGCCTTCCTATGAATCCCAAAAGCCAAAATATGGAAAAATGGACAAGATGAAATATTATCACAGAATTTTGCTTCTCAATCAAAATAATAGCTAATAAATGATTTTTGCATAGTAACCTTCAACTTTCATCAAGTCTTGAGGCTTGTGTCCTATGCTTATTGTTCTGAATGAGCCAGTTCAGTATTCAAACAATGCACACCCAAAAAGAAGCGTGTTTGTAGGCATTCAGGAATACCGGGTACCAACGGGCCTGCCCCATCAGCAAGGCCTTACACCAACTCACACATATGACTTGTTCCCGAGTGACATTGCCTTTTGAAAAGACTGAATTGGCTCAATGATCAGTCACGTGGTAGCCAATCATATGATGTATTCCTCTGAAGGCTTCTGGCTTAGATCATGTGATATTCTTGCTGAATCTCATTGGACAACAAAAATGTCTGTTGAACCAATCATATTGGAAAGATGTGACACGGGCTTGAGTTTTATGTGAGTACCGGATTCAAATGCTGAACTCACTTCATTGAAGATGTAAGCAGTGTCGTTGGCGTCTACTTCCACACAACCCATACTGTTCAGTTGCATCTCGGACGTTATGAGCTGGCTGGAACTTGTGTAGTGGGTCAAACAGCCGAGAAAGATGAGATAGAAGAAGAAGTCTAACATGAAGAAAATACCAGCGAATTTTGACCTGCAGACCAGAAAAAAGTAGTTCTTCCCCTTCAGCTACATCAAAGGTTTTAACAAGCCTATTGTTCTTGATAATTAAAGTCATTTCAGTTTGTTCTAAAGCTGGTCACTTAAAAAACATTAGCCCTGTAAACAAGATTTGCCTGATAAGTCCTTAACTACAGACTTCCAAACTACTGCACTGCTCTTCATTCTCCTATATCTGAATCAATGATTGAATATATGTGACCCGCTCCAGGAAAAGGTGATATAAGTTGCAAAAAAAAAAATTCAAGTTATATACATGACTGGAAAACCCACATTGTAAGCTTTCATTTGGTATATGAAAGAGCTCCGTACCCTTTCCCGTTCTGGAGTTATGACATATTTGCATATTAATTAGTTCCTGGCAATTGAAATTGCAAAACTGAGAAAACACGCTTTGAAATATGTGGCTCTGATGTGGGTTGTAGGCATTTAAATCCTACTTAGCAACCAACATGTTCTTGTGTCACAACCACCTTCAAACTTCGCGCAAGGACTAAGGAATTAGTATTTTCAATGATTTTGTCAGAAAAAAAGGAATTTTTGAATCCAACGTTGAGCAGTCATTGCTTGTAAATGCATGGTGTGACTTACATCACCTTTTCCTGGAGCGGGTCCCATATTAGTTCTAGTCTTTAATGGATTAACGCTCTTGAACAATACGGTCCTTATAACAACAGGCATGTTAAACTTTTGTCTTATTAAAATTGCACATTTGGAGAGGTATATGATTTGGGGACTATATTTCTACATTAACTGAACAGCAAACTGACTCACTACAACCCTAACCATGCTGAACCCAACAAGATTATGCAGGATTTCAATGGTCCTTAGGGGGTTAACCATGCTGAACCCAACAAGATTATGCAGGATTTCAATGGTCCCTAGGGGGTTAACCATGCTGAACCCAACAAGGTTATGCAGGATTTCAATGGTCCCTAGGGGGTTATCCCATTACCCCCAAGATTCTTTGAATCCGCCACACGGTTTTTGGAATATTTTGCAACAGCAAGCCACCTTAACTTTTCATGAAACCAACTAGGGGCCCTTATAAGTTGGTACAAAGAATGCGCTCAATGTTTTCAGAGCAAGAATGATATATTTGAGGATTTGGTACAATTTGTAGCAAACTGTGAGTAAACTTTGAGTAAAATGATTGTAACATTCTTCTCCTAAGTCACTGCACACCTACCATTTTCGAGACAAGATGCACTGTGGAAGCTCGTGGCACAGAAGTTTCTGGCGATTGTATTTGAGCATCGTCTGAAAGATAGATGTAACTCCACAGTGATATAAATGAACGATACACTAAAATACTGTCACAGTGAACTTCCATTCTGTGATGAATGGAATGTTCCATTCCAGTCAGCTTTGCCTCATGCAATGGAACATTCTGCCTGTCACCTCATGAAAATACTCTAACCACTGAGACTCATAAACTTCATTATTTATAAATTGGTTTGGAATGAAATAGAAAAACATACCTTGAGTGCAAAGAATCTCTTTTTCTTGTCAATGATATTGTTTTCTCCAGTTAAGTGGTCGTCTGGCCCTGGATCGAGATAACTGAAGTCACAGGTGATCTGTAAGAGAGACAGACAAATGTCCACTTTAAGTTTTCTGTGAAGCTCTGATGTAAAACACATGCCTCTTATCATCTTGGGTTGCCACATACTTTCATGTTTATGCAAAGGAACATGCCTTTGATGGTTGCAATAGATCACAGTTACACTTCAGTATGTCTAATTTCAATCAAGGCAAACATTTTCAGAAGGCGCTCACACAATAGTTGAGTGCTGTGTCGTAAAGTTTAACAGACCACTCTCATTTTGCCTAGAAGTTTATCTAGGGGCCAAAATTTGTAGAAATATCACCTTTCGGTTAGTTTTCAATATCACCTCAAATTCGTTGAAAATGGACATTTGACTCATTCATTTTAAAGGGTTGTGTTTTCATTTAGTACTTTGCAGTATGCATCCTTATCTGGTGGTCTGATAGCTACATGGGATTTTTAATACTTTGTGAATTATTAAGTAAAACGATTACGATGCGGTTACACCATGGATAAATCTCTTTCTTGAGTATTTGTGGTTCTGAGAAGAACCGGGGAATAACTCGACGTTTCGAACAGTGTACTCTGTCCGTCTTCAGGAGACTGCAGGATTCTAACTGGGAGTGGAGCTTATATGGTGTAGAGAGGGATCCAGATGTAGGGATTAGCTCGGTGAGGCGTTAAGGCGGGAACAACGGATGCTGCTCTGGATCCTGGTACTGCATGACCTGAGTGTGTGCTTACTCAAGTGTGTCAGTTGGGGTTTGCAATGGGAGCTAATCCCTACATCTGGCGACGGCCAACCATACTTTTAGCCGCCACTTGTAACAAAAATGTGACTGTGACATTCAAAGAGCAGACCCTATTACAAAGTTCCACTTTTATGTATCCAAAGTCCCAAGTAAAATTGTTTTGGATTATCAATGAAATGTTCACCCTCTCCAAGTCCACTTTTTTATCGCTGTCAACAACAAACAGAACAATATTGGGAAGTCAAAAGTCTGCCAGAAATCATAATGTTCAATCTCTTGCTGTGCTCCGTGATCAGATGTGTCATTTTGCAGCTGCCAAAGGCACCATTATAATTCGCCTTCACGCCCTTCAGTTCAACCATGTTATACATGCATTCTTCATAATCCAACCTTGTGGCTGCAAGGTCGCATGAATTTAAAAAAGGTACTAAAATCAATGTATGAAAGTAAGATTATACCTCTAAATCTGGATGGTTTGGGTCGCTGTGCGATTTCTTGGAGCAGTGGTCAAGCACTAACAGTGCGGCGTCTGGCATCTTCTTAATCAACTTCTTCATGGGCGACAGGCCTTTGTCATTACGATTGCTAAGAGCCGACTCCCAACTTTCATAATAGAGACAAAGACAATATGGCAAGTGTCCACACAAAGTTGTTTGAAAATACAGACCCATCATCAAGGTAGAAATTTCAGGTTTGAGTGGTTTGAGGGGAGGGCTCTTGATTATGATGTGTGGTCTGTCAAAAACAAACTCTTCTGCGTAGCCAGTGTTTTTTTTTTAATATCTTTTTCTCTGCAGGTGTTTTCATTCTTTAAATGAACATTCATTAGTAAAATATACCCATTTAAAATGATGTCGAAACGGTGTGATGGCAAGCAGAAATGGGTAAATGGTCCGTGAACAGCTGAACAAAGAAAACTTGGCTGTTAAGAACATATTTAGCTCATATCTTAGCCATTTTTCTAAGTTTCAACATAAAATCTTCGGAGATGGACGGCAAAAGTCTAGTGTGTTTGAAGAATATTTTTGACACACTTAGGCCTGCAAATTTGCAAAAAAAATGATTACAAAAAATACCCTAGACCATCTTTCAATGGTAAACTGGAGATTTGTTTTAGTTAAACAGAAAATGCGGAAGTTCTGTTGCTGACTGATGTTTTGTTAATTGGTTCAATTGCATGACCTATTTTTTTGCCAAATCAAAAAGTGGAACACCAAAAACATTTAAACGATATCCAGAAATGAAAGTTGAAAGGATAAAAGTTCTCACTCCTTGCTGGTGACAATGGCCTTGGCTATCTCTAGATGCTGATTCTCGATGGCATAGTCAAGAGCATACAGCCCCGCCCGGTTGCAGTGGGTCAGCTCTGCTCTAGCTGCCAAGAGAAGTTTGGCGACCAGCTGATGTCCGGCCTGACAGACCAGGTGCAAGGGGGTGTTCTGGAAAGAAATACAATTCTGAGAATGCTAGAGGATGACCCTAATTGAGAAACCGCTTCGTCTTCCCGGTCATAGCCATTTTATTCTGTCCTTGTGGTCTTTGGTGGATTGGAAAGAGGGAAGGGCATAATCCCCTCACAAAAAGAGGTCAAAGGTTACATGAAGAAATTTCACCTTTTTACCCCCTCCTCCCAACTAGAACATTCTGGATTAACCCTCCTTGTGGGCGGCTTACAATCTGAATTAGTTTTGGAAACAAAGTCTCCAATAGATCACAGCACAAATCTCTATTGTTTTCTTAATTGCTTGGCAGAAGGGACCTAGACCACTTTTAAAAGTTGCTGACTTCAAATCGAGGATCAGCGCTGTAGTTTAGTCGGTGACAAGTCCCTGTAAGTCCATCACAAGTCATCCAGTGACAGGTCAAGTCACAAGCTTTCCAAATGGGCCCTGGCATAATCTATGTCACAGTTCGCTCTGTTACCAGTCACTGGTCTAGTGGAAGAACTTGTCACCGACTTGTTTATTTTGGGGACGTGCTGGGAAAACTCGACTGAGAATATGTAGCCAATTCAGTAATGTTCCGGATCTCAGGCCATTTTCCAATACTCGACTTGGGCTCCGTCTCAGGCTTCAACTGTTTTTTTTTTTAATTTCCTGACTTTGAGGTTATAAGCGCAAGAGTAAGTCTGATAGTGCCACAAAACATCCAGTGAGATGCAAAAGAGCCAAACATTACAGTATTTCAATTTACAAGTTAAACGCTTCAGGCCCACAATTGAGGATTGGTTTCCTACCCAAAGCCTGAGAGGGAGACGAAGTTGAGTACTGGAAAACGGCCTAATTCTTGAAACGTAACCATAAATCTTAGTTCCTTACGGAGGACCTGAGGACTTCATCTTGCAGTATGTGCTATACATTTTTAAAAGAGGAGAAAACTAAGGACCGTGGTCTAAGTGATTCTAATGCTATGAAAAACAAATCTAACTCTAACCTTTTCTTTGTCGAGAGCATTGATGTCCGCATTGTTTTCAATCAGGACGGTTACAGTGTGCACATGATTCTTGCTCGCAGCGAGAGCTAATGCCGTCTTCCACTCATCATTTCTAAGAGCAAAGGTAAGACAACGACTTGAGGTTAATCAAGTGAGATTTAGACCTACGGGACATGGCTGGAATGCCAGCATAAAGGATTCACGAATGCAGTCAATATTTATATATGGTCTCTGTGAACAATTGCTCCCTCAGTGGTGAAAAGGAGAGAAGTTGGGCCGACACTGGAGTTCAGTTTTTGTCATGTATGGCAACGACAAAAGTTGTACCTTTAATAAGTTATACAACAAAAACAAAGAATTCTATTTGAAAATAATTTTTCAGCCAGCCACATCCAGCAAATAGGAAAGTAATTTTAATTTCAAGGATGCAATTTGACAGTGTTTTCAAATTAACAACAATATTTTTGACAGGAGAGAAAATGTGCAAGTAGGTTTGTGTGGAACTTGAAATGTAGACGAATGCTTTTTTTTTAAGTTCTGAGTTCGTTCAATTTCCCACAGAAATCTGCATTCTGACAATGTCTGGTGCTGCGTACTTGCTGGCAATATCAGCACCTGTGTCCAACAGGAATCGAACGATACTTGGATGACCATTGTGACTCGCCAACAGGAGTGGCGTCATTCCGTCCATGTCGTCCGTATTCAGGAGATTGGGGGAGTGCTGTAGAAGGATCTTGACACAGGCAAGGTGACCGAACCTGGTAACGGAGAGGTGGACACCAATGCTCACTCATACGTGTCACTCCATCTAGCATCTAGAGTTGCAAGTCACTTGAGCCACTTTTGAGTTGAAGGCCTTTGAGAGAATCTTGCATTATGCAAATCTTCAATGGCACTCGATCCCTCTGTTTTTCACCATTGTACTGTCAATAAGCCATTTGTGAGTTAAATTTGAATAAAATCTGGTGCACTGAGTTATCTGAGTGCACATAAACATAACAATTTGAATTCCTCAGACCAAAGACACTGTTGCTATACCTCGTGATTCGGGGCAAGCTTTTGCATAGCGACCACCTTCTCTGGATTGGACTGGTTCCTTTGTGCCCTTCTTATCCATGAAGAACAGTGTATTGTTGCAAGGCGTCTCTTATGTAACTAAGCAAAAGCTTGCCCTGAATCACGAGGTATAGCAACAGTGGTTTTAGTAAGGAGAATTCAAATTGTTATGTTTACTTGAATTTAAGGAACTCAGATTTGGGTCAAAGTTAACTTGCAAAAGGCTTATTGGCATTGGGATGCCAACCTGAGTGTTGCATCCAAACAGCTCAATTTTGTTTTTCTGATTTAAAAATTTTTAAAAATGAAGAAAAGAGATTCTTTTCGTGATATTTGCACAAACAGAGGCAATGGTCAGCAAACACTTTACTTTCAGGTAATCCACAGCAGAAGCACAGAGGCGGACATGAATGCAAAGTCCCACAAAGTCTTCACAATCAGATCTAAAGTTCTTCAGTTTCACAGCTTCCCTGTACCATTTACAGGCATGTACCTGATTGTTCTTTCTGAAATGGCAACATTCAAGTTGTGTGGGCTTGAGATATTTGAGCCTTACACTACCTTGTTCAGACTGCCAAACTGAACTACTGTCCCAAAGATTAAGAATAACACACACAAGTCAGTGATAAATTATTTTTCAATAAAATCAGCCTTCTCTGCCAGAAAAAAAATAGGAAGCACTCTCTGCACAAACCTTATCGAATAATGAGAACGCCAAGATGAACCTACCTTAATGTATGTAGCTGAACAGGGCAAACATGCAAAATAGCATGAAGAAAATAAATATAACAAAGCAAAAAATGGCCATTTGATTAATATAAAACACTGATTGATACATATCAAAAAATCTGGCACATACACCTGTACTTGTAGGCCTTGCAGTACTTACTGACAGGCAATATGAAGGGGTGTCTTCTCCTCATTGTCTCTGGTGTCTACTTTGGCACCTTTGACTAGCAACAAATTCAATAGCTGTCAAAGAGATATAGAAATGGTACAGTTTCTGAATTTACTCTTTTAAAATTACAATTTTTTTGAACAATATGCCATGATAAATAGCTGAATTTTATTTCTTAAATGATTTTTCCAAATCACAGAAATGAATGGGTAAAAGGGGTGTGATGGTTACTCCAAACTTGAAGTAACCATATACAGAAGTCATTAACATTGGACAAAGGCATCTGAGGGTGGCATTGGTGTTAAAACACATTGAGTAATGTTTGAGGTGTAACACCCCCTTGGTTTGTTATGCAGTAAATTAGGAGTCAGTTACAACTCAAACCACATGCCACGCACACATGTACCATAGTTTTGGGGAAAATGATAGTTATAATGGGGATGAATTCTTTGTTTTCTTTGTCCCTACGATTCGGTCCAGAATTTCCATACAAAAGAAGCCGTCCTTTCAATGCAAGGCCAGTCAGGGCACAAATAATGAATTCTTAGGGAACAAAATGTGACAAAAGAGTGACTTTATAACAGTAATATCTTAACATCTTGAGACTTAAGATTCCATTCACTTTGATGGGCTCATTATCGGCATGCACCGATATGTGATGGCTCGTTTCAGTGGTTAAATCAGTGGTGAGTTCAGTGGTGATTGTTGTTAAGTTAAAAAATACATGTACCTCAAAAATCCTCTTTTTTCTCGCACGATCCTCTTAGGATTTACAACCAGACTTGCTTAAAACTCTGGACTTACCGCCACGTTAGCGGTCTCAGCTGTGTAGTGAAGCACCGTTTGATCCATCCTGTCTTCAGACTCCAACAAGCCCAATCCTGTTGCTTCAAAGAGCACGCTCACAATCTCCGAGTGCCCCATCTCTACGGACCAGTGGAGGCAGGTTTTCCGCTCGCAGTCACGCAGGTTGAGGTCTGCTCCCCGTTGTATCAGAAGCTTGACTATCTCAACGTGCCCTCGCCAGCAGGCACAGAGTAGGGGGGTGAAATGGTCCTTTTCCCGGGCATTAATATCAGCACCCTGATGAACCAATTTTTTTGGTCATTCTCCAAATGTCATGTTTTGAGGGAATTACGCTCAGTGTTGCAAATTCAGTGTTGTTATAAGGAATCTGCAAAACACCTTTGAAATACAGTGCCAGAGTGCACTAAGCCCATGCAAAGACAAAACAGAATTGTGCACATTCAAACGTAAACTAGTCAAGTATAATTTGATTAAACTCCGTGCTGTATGTGAACCAGTGCAATACCTCATTGTGAACCTTCAGAACAGATCCCATAGGATATCACACAGCACCATCTTACGCTGTAAAAAGGAATTTGCCATTGCCAATTTTGCATTATAAAAAAATCAGGTTGTACTCACTTTGTCTAAGAGAAGCCCAACCATGGCGAGACGGTTGTACATTGCAGCTCTGAAATACACACACAAGATGTTTAAAGCACATCAATTAATAAATGAAAGTTTTTTGGTACTAGCCCTGGATGGCAACCATTTTCATTGGAATAAATGTCAACTCCAATTAGGATCAAGAGGAAACAGGAATATTAATTTAAATAGTTAAGTTCTTAAGGAATTTTTTCTTCGTTTTGCTTGGCATGATGTAGAGCATTTTCACTTTTAATGTCAGTACAAGAAATCTTCTTAAAATGATTTCTGTCATGCCACTGCAATTCAGTTGGACTGCGAGAAAGGTATGAACAATGAAACCTTTGATTCCATTCAATTTGATTAATTACTAAACAATTTTCAGTTGGTTGTAAGGTGTGTCTTAACCAAAACGTGATACAGTATTCAGTACAAAGCATCATTTAAACTTAATAACCAACTCAAGATTAATTGTTCAATGAACTATTCAAAGAACTTGAGTGATTAAAAAGGGTAAGATTTTATTGAGGTTCAATTTATCAAGAAACCAAGAGTACAGCCTTAAATGAGTTACACTTGGTCAGCAGATGCAGTCTTGTTGCCTAAAGGTTGCGAAGTTGAAAAAAAACAATGCTTGTGTCAGGCCAGCACAACAAGAGGTAACGTTTTGAGACTTTCCAATCTTCCAATCAACCGTGACCAGGACGGATAAACAACCTAACTGTGAAGTAATCATTTGAATGAAGTGAGGGCTACTTCCTACCGGTGGAGTGGTGTCATGAGTTCGTTGTCCCCCTTTTCGATGGTAGCTCCAAAGTCTAAAAGTAAATTAGCAATGTCCGTGTTGCCAACCACAGCTATGAGGTGAAGAGGTGTGTGGCCCATTCCACACTGTGCATTCACATCTGCCCCACTATCCAGGAGAAATTTCACCAACTGGAAATAAGAATTCATTTGAAAGACCCATATTGTGATGAGGAAAGACAGTATGTGTAGTTATTACAGTGTATTACGGAAGCAGTTTTTCTTTGATTGTCAGGAATTTTAGTCATCTCTCCAGTTAAGAAAACCCGTTCTACCGTATGCACCTTAACATTTTATCTTGAGACAAACAAGTATCATTGGTTGGGGGAATAAAAGCTGACATCCATTTTAAGGTACAAGTGGACCATAACTTTTTTATTTTGGCAGAAAACAAGTATAAAAATGTAACGATACGAAAAAAGCCTAATGACTTCCCGTAGTTGTTTTGAGGCTCATGAGCTAACTGACTCATAGGACAGGTTTCGGTGGTTCAAGTACGGTGTGGCTGAGCACACTAAACTTTCCATCTTTCAAGCTCTTCTTTTAAGTGATAGTTCGTTACAGTCATTTGCAAAAGTTTAGGACCACCCATACAAAATGCATTAACCTGAAGAAAAACCAAACTGAAACCAATCAATTATGGCAACTTATGTTGATTTCAAAGTGTAACCTTAGTATTTTGGTTAAACAGCTATTTGATTACATTTCCATGATTTGACATGTTAACAGTCTAATATTTAGTGTGTGATTACTTAGACTAGCTTTTTTACCCATGCTGCCTTACAGACAGAATGTCATACAAGATCTGCCTTTGCAAAGCAATTGATGCAAATGGGCTCATAGTATGACTCTGATGTTATCACCACTGTAAAAACTATCTTATATTATGTAAACATTCAATAAAACAATGTAATGCAGGCCAGAACCAATGACAGAAAAACCAACAAAATACTGGGTGGTCTTTTGCAAATGACTGTAGTTGGCATTTCAGTTTGTAATAATGCTGATAAAATGTCACCAATTTCTGAAACAATGGTCAGAATTTACTGTTAAAATTTAAAAAAAAACACCAAAGTTTCACAAAAAGCAGCCTCAAAATGATAAGAATAGCTGTCTAAAAATGCCTACCTCTTTGCAGCCGTTACTGATGGCAATGTGCAGCACGGTCTTCATTTCATTATCGGTATGCAGCAACAAGTCACATGCCTTCAAGCCTTGACTGGGTGCTGTCAGAATAGGATAATCAAAATTGTACCAAATCTTGTCTCCATAAATGAACCTCAAATAATCCAAAACATGTGCATGCCCCAAAATGTTGCTTGTTCCTGATACATGTACATTTCTTCAAACTTTTGAGCAGCCTGAATTCAAAGTTGGATGTCAAATTGCCACTACTGTTTGTTTGTTGCAAATATTTAGCCAGTGCTGTTTTGCAACTGAACAACCACCACAACCACAACCACCACCACCACAATGTCAACAATAACCACAGCCACTGTAACAACCACCACCACCAAAAGCCACCACCATCACCTTATCAACAACCACCACGACCATAACAATAACCACAATCACTGTAACAACCACAACAACCACCACCACCAGCCACCACCATCACCTTAACAACAACCACCACAACCACCAAAACGGCAACAATAACCACAACCACAGTAACAACCACAACAACCACCACCACCACCACAACCACAACAACCACCACAACCAAAACAACCACCATAACCTTAACCACCACAGTGCCAATAACTACCACCAGCACCACAACCATCACATCCACAACAACAACAAAACAGAATACCTGATTGTAATACACAGTGGATGAAGCTCTGATGCCCCACTGCGCATGCCATCATTACTGCCGTCATGTTACTTACTTCTCTGGCTCCAATATCAACACCATTGTTAATCTATTATTGAACATAAAAAAATATGAATTTGAGAGTTTCTAATTCTTATGAAATGTACACTGACAACTGGTATATCCCACGGAGTTGTATGTTGTTTGTCCTCGGAAAGATTTTCAGCATTTAATTCAGGATCAGCTGTGATGAATTGATTCAAAACAACCCAGCTTTGGGGGTTTAATGCACAGCAATAATCAAACCTGCAACCCATGCTGCAAAAGGAACTTGAAAATCCTCACTTTTTGGAAACATCTTCTGAGAATTTATAAAATGTGGCAGTTTTTTAAATGGGTGATCAGAGAAGCAAAATGCAAGATGGCAGATATGGAACACCGTAGAGAGTCCCATCCCAAAGGTTGGACTTACCAGCAACTGGCACACATCTATGTCACCGCTGATGGCAGCCATGTGCAGGGGCGTCATCAAATCTTTGTCGAATGCCTTCACCTGGTCTTTGTCATATTCTAATAAAACCTTCAAAAAAAGTGAAGAATCATTTACAATCACTGAAGACTCTTGTTGAATCATCAGCCAAGGGCAAGTTTGAACGAGGACCACAGTTAACCATGGTTCAACCCTCTCTCATTGAACTCACATTAGTCTACAATGGTTTGACTAGTCTAGTCAACTATTCACAACCAGCCTATCGACGTTGGCCGCATCATTCGTTGCCATAAATTGGTTTTCATAGCACAGTGCAGAGAGGACTAGTTATAAGAGAAATGCCAGAAAAACAGTTATGTCACTAGTGAACGACCAGTTTCACTTTTGTTGTTGCTATTTTGCTCTTCCTGCAGCCAACCCTTTTCCCCTTCTGCCTAGAGCACTGACAGTGGTTGACTAGGATTGTTTATTTCACATGCACTATCACGAACCAAGCATTAGCTAACTATAGTGGTCTTTGATTGAACTTGCCCCAGTGTGTCCAAAGATAGAACAGGTGCAGAATTACCATGAAGCCATCACAAACTTTAGTTCCATCAATCAGATATCACAGTCTTTTACCAGAAGATTTACCCTATTGCTTCCACAGTGCATTTAATCTCAATGGAGTCAGGTTGGTGTAGTGGGTCTTTTCTCGCCTTCCACCTCTAGATCTGTGGTCCGGTTTCAATTCCCGTCTTGGTCCACAGTGTGGATTGGGTTTTCAGTTCCTGCGTGATTCCCACCTCTAAAACTGTAACTACTTTTCATTGTCTCTTCTCAAGAGGTTTCTTCAGGCTTGCGAGCTACAGTGCTTAGGGTGCTTTTGAGCAATCCTTGGTGTCATCCCCCGAAATGAATGCATGTAATAATAATCCCAAATAGTACAAAATTAGCACAAATACATTATTATTATTTGGAGACAGCTACTCTAATCTACCCCAGGGTTAGAGCCTGTGAGACTACCCACCCTGATGATGTCTGCATGTCCCCTCCGTGCAGCCAGGTGGATGGGCCTCTGGCCAAGGTGGGTGGATGCATCACAGCTGGCGCCATTTTTCAACAGCAGCATGGCAGCCTCCAGCCAGCCGTACCGGGCTGCCAGGTGAAGAGGAGTGAAGCCCGTACTGACCGCAGGGAGGTCCACATCTGAAATAGGCCAAAAGGGGAAAAAGTACCTCCACTCATCAATAACATGTATCAAGTGATGCAGGGACGTCACTTAATTGCCACCCCGTTTATATGCCCAATTCATGGATGTTTCCACCATCCACAGCCGATTGTCTTGTTTTTCTAATTCACGGTTGTGAAAGTATTTTTCAAAAAAGTTAAGCGAAATTGGAGATTTCATGCAAAATCAACCTCGTGCAAAGCGATTAGGCTATCGCACGGATCGGCCGATCGCGCCCAAGTTAAAACCTGGTAAAGGTGAAGGTCAAAACAAACAAGTAACAGTTATTAAATGTACACCAATCAGAGCATTTTACACTGAAGTGTACGTGACACAGCAATTTGATGACCACACAAAGCTACAATCTCTGCAGTCAATGCAGCCTGATCAAACCAAACATAATTTCTAAGCATGCCGATAAGTCAGCAACTGAGGGCAAACTTGACAAAATAAATAGTTGTAATAAGGCTTAATCGTTCCTAAATCTACGCAAGAGTAAAATGACTCACCCTTCGATCGTCAGATCAAAATCCTTCACATATATGATACATCTATGCCTGAAAACTCGAACAAAGTTCTCTTTATTTTAAGCAAAAGCTTTGCATCGAAATAAGGTCCAAGTCTATGCGGTAACTGTCATTTGGCGCAATACGATCTTTACCATGGAGCTTTAAAAACTTATACTTTTGCCGGATGTAAACACACTGCATTCACGTGGTAACCGTTTTACAACTTGTAGATTACTATGCAATGGACTGCACCCCTTAGTGCATATCTGGTCTGAGATCTCTTGACACCAACTATTTACGATGCAGAAACTATTGGGTCAATCCATTTTGTTATTCGGGGTGGTACTAATTACTAGCTAAAACAAAATACCTGCAAGCGAGTAATTCACTCAAATTATCGACAATTTAACTCATTTTATTTCATTATTATCATGAAATATTTTGACAGATCAAAATGATGAGATATTGATCTAGTAAAGACTTGTTGTCATGCATTTATATCATATAGTTAACGCGACCCACAAAAACCGCGAATTGAAAAGTTCACTTCCGACTAGTCTAGTTACAAGAGATCTGTCTACCTTGTGATATATAGTTGCGATAAGTTCAGCGTAAATCGATTTTTCTGCTCAGAAAATCAACGACACGTCTGAAAAGCCGAGTATGAAATTCCATCTCGACGTGAGGGTTCTTGAAATTAATGCTTAGCTAACATTACAGCAGTGGAATTTAAGTCGACACGACAGCACGGACTGAACTGCTGAACATGGTAAGTTGGGTCTTTCCATTGCGTTACCTTTAATTACGTTACCATTAAACCAAAAACTGAGGGCGTTGATATGATAAAGCAGAAACTGCTCAAGCGTGCTACGGACCGTGCATGCACGTTGAGAAAAACAAAAGTGTAAGGGGCTTAAGCTTAGCAGTTTCATGACACTCTTGAGTCTTGATACCTTACGCCAAATGCCTAAATTTTATGCCGTAGTGTAGGCCTATGGTACGGATGCAAGATCTATACGGCGGCCCCGAATGGACGTCTTTAAGTTTTGCCAAGTCATGTTAAGTATATGTAGTTACCGTGGTTACTAATGTAGATCATTTAACTTGAACTTTAATTTGTCACCTTGCCTTTTTAAGAACATTTATAATGACATGACAGTGCGCACATTGTTACACAAAGTGGGACATGTTGGACTCGTCACATTTTCAACTCAACGTGCCAAAAACCTGCACAAAGTGCTTTAGTGTTATAGCACTATGGATAAATACTAATGACTGTCAGTGCAAATTACGAAATGCTTTGATTTGGGTTGAAGTTTGTATTATGTATGAAGGGCAAACGGCATCTAAGTTCGTGTCACATTTTCTCTGCAAAGCCGAGAGCAGCAGGAGATAAAAACAAACCAAACAAACAAAATTGTACAGTGTAAAAATACCACATAGAATAAGGCTACAATTGATAGATCTCTCTCATTAACGCCATCTTTGTAGGAAAATATCAAATGCGTATCCGGTGCGTAAGTGACTTCGTCATACACGTAGACGTACCACTGATTGCAGCCTCGCTCCCATTGGACGAACACTTAAGTTGCGCGCTACCTCCCGGTTCCATGGTTGGGCGTGGTTTAAACTGAAGTGACATCATTTACGAGCCGGTATCGCGTGCGGTGTGCAAAATGTTCTAAAATAGCGCGCTTACTGATCCAAACATCTTCGAAATACGGCGCCGCGCGATGCACGTCACGAAAATTGAAATAAAAAATGTCAATGCACGTGGCAATCTGTAGGGAATGACGTCATTTGAGAGACCTATCGCCACCAACGCTGTTCACCGGGTCCGGTGCCGGCGCGAAAATACTACAAAGAATTACTCGTGCTTGCAACAAACCTTCTCGCATTTTGTGACGTTGCGGGTCGCCTGCGTGGTCTCGTTCACGCAAGGAGCTCGTTAGCGTGCTTCTATGGACGTGTCAAACTTATACATTCTGTAGCCTATAGTTGAGCTACTAACCTGCATTGTTCTTCAAAAGTTCTCCCATCCATCCAAGATGATTGCTTTGGGCCGCTGTATGCAGGGCCGCGTAACCTTCGGCGTTGTAGCGGTTCACATCATTGTAATCAGTGCTGTTTTTTTTCCTGTAGTTTTTCTGTGGTTGTCATTGAAATAACAATGATGAGAAGACAATTGATTTCTCTCCCCTGCGGCAGACCCAGGACGACGAATTCGGAATGATCGAAATTTACTATTAAAAAATGAATAAATAAATACATTTTAAGAAAAAGTATTATAATTTTGTGCTTGTAATAAATTTTCTACCCCAGTCGCTCTGTATGTGGGGGAAAGTCAATCTTAGTGTTGCGTGGAGCTTCAATTTTGAAAGATGATAAAGTGATGGGACAAGAAGGAAAGTATGCTGTTCGAAGGATCTTTGCTTGACGTTCTATACAGTATCGCCTGTGAAGAAAACACCCATTGTCACTCGTTTGTGGGGACCAAGATTATACTAGGTCGTGCCACCCTTACTTAGGCACTCAAGTATCGATAGTCCTTAGAAATCTGTCCGTTATTTTTTTAGACAAAATGTCGTACTGACCCCTAAATCTGGTCCATGCGAATGCCGTTTTCCAGTCTTGAAGGAAATGTGTTCACGAGCCGAAATGGGAACGATCGGGCGAGGCTCATTTTGCACGTCCTTCCCGAGCTTCCGGGGCTGAGCAAGATTGGAGGATTTTCTCCTCCCTCTCTTCGGGGTCCCTCCCCGAGAGGCGGGATCAACCGACGGGGAGACGGTAGCGCCCCTCCTCAAGCCGCTGGAAGGGCGGAGAAAGGTTGCCAGGACGCCCGTGGTGTGAAAGGACATCCTGTGGGGCAGGATGTGCCGGTACGGGTCCTTCATACGACGCCGGTTCGCCATCGCAGTCGGCGAGCGCTTGTCAGTACCGTCTAAGACGGGTTGCGGCTCGCGAGGACTCTCTGTGTTCGATTTTTCGTCTTCTTGGAGCGGCGGCATTGCGCCATTCAATTTGTCCGAGTTCTCCGGCAAACTAGTCATAGTGGCTTCCGTGAATGATGTTACTGCATTTAAATCCAAGGACAGGGTCCCATACAGAAGCAGTATCGCTCAATTGCCCAAGTAACCTGGGGAAAAACATGTTCATGGTTTAGTACCACTTGTTACATGTATAACCTCGGAATGAGACTGTTGGGAAAACGAATGGATTCAGGCAGGGACTGAAAATCCCCAAAGTCTGTCAGAACGGTACTAAAACGGGTCACAAACATGGATTTAGGTGACAGAAGGTATGGTCAATTTCTCCTTTTACATTGCAAAAAAAGTCAAGTAGCTTTGTGATGGGTCCAAAAAACTATAGCGTCTGGTCTTTTAAACTGATCCATTATAACATCATTATATGGACAACAACAAAAAGTATGAAATGTGTAAATTTTGGGGGGTTGTACCTTTTCCAGCGCAATCAGTACAAGTGTATTAACTACGCATGGTATTTTAAGAAGACACTCTGTTACAATTAGAAGTCACCGTGGTCACATGTTCATTTTATCCATGGTCATTACAAAAGCTTAATAATTGAGTTACATAATAAGAAATCAATGGACTTCTGGTTTAAAAAATGGTGAAGTGAATTTCACCCGTCCAGTGTTCAAATATGACCTTGCTAAAAAATGAACCCTATTCGGCGAGGCTCGATTCCCCCAACCAGTCTTTCCTCAAACTGTTTCTCATGAATATGTTTGAAATTCGACAAAGCATTATTACACCACCTCTTCGGCTTCCAAGCAAAGATGACTGATACACTTTCCTTTTCTCAAAATCAAAGAAAATGCACATAGCCCTAAGCAACATCCCGGTCCGATAGGTTCAGTTCAGCTTTTGTGCTCATAATGACGAATGATATGTGTTATTGTGATCAGCTACATTTATCTATGGATCGTGTGCCCCGTCCTCTGCTGTTAGATATGGTACGGTCGAGGTAACGACGGACATTTACCTTAACCCTTTACAATAATTCAAAAAAGTGCAGACTTTCTTCCTTTTTCTCACCGTGTGTAGATGAAGTTTGATGTAAACACTTCGCGGGGAAAGTGTTGAACATAGTTTGTCGAACGTTTCTAAAAACAAACGACGATGGTCCAGTTTTATCGAAAGACTGTTGATTCGGGAACCCGAGCGAGAAGTAGTTCAAATTTCGTTTGAATACGTTAAGCATACGTCCAGAGACAACGCAAAGAAATGTTTTCATTTATGTAAACTTTTCAGTGCCGGTCATATTATGATTTATCTGACACATTGACAAGAACACGCAGACAGACGATCGTTTCTTTGATAACATTTTTCAATGTGGTACATGTAGCTTTGCCAACAAAACTGTCTTGTCCGTTTATGCCAAACTTAAACTTACTTACATCTATGAAAGCTGTGCGTCCGAACTGTTAATGTGAGTATAATTATTGAATGCGATCTTCTGACTTTTCTTTGTGTCAGCCTTTCTTAATGTAACAGCAAATACCTGTTGTGGAAGTGTCCTCTCAACTCAACTTTCGATCTGTTATGTAATGTACCGATGATGCCTTGATGGGACAGCACGTCCAATTGTATCCTCATCCATTTGATGCACTTCGAGACTTGGTCGAGTGTCAGGATACCTTCCACTCTGTTTTAACGTAGCCGGTATCCATGCATGATTGGTAAAACAACGAAGAACTTCTCTTAAAAGTCTCAAGAGTTGTAAGTTAGGTGGCTGTTTCTGATGGGTGAATAATTTCCTCTCTGTAGGGGTCAACATCGAGGTCTTCCAGTGCGCACGACATCTACTACTAATAATAAACGCACTACAATAAACCCGTCGCGTACGATCGTGCATCACATGCATTCGTCTTTCGGTAAACAGCTATGAATAGTGGTCTTTTTAATAGAGCGGAACCTCCTTGAGCAGTCAAGCGAATAGCCCAATGACAACGCACAATGATGGGCCACAAAAGCCTGACCGGACCACTGAATGGGTTAAAAAGGTTGTTGAGGCGCGATGCCTTAGCAACCGAACCCAACCTGTTCCATGGTGACCCTGAATGGACATTGCAAATCTCATTTGCATTTCGGACAGACAGGTCGGAGGCGTGAGATATGGTGATTCGTGGTGGTACCCAGCTGAGTCGGTTGGGCCATAAAAATCGTCGACGTCAAAATGGCTTGTTCATGATACCAAATAAGACAGTGTCGAATGATCCTTTCTGGTTACTGTGCCGACAACGCCATATCGCACAGCAAACATCAAGATCGTGTGCCCCATTTTCACTGCAGGACGTATTTTGTCAATTAATGCTGGAATGACACCCCCATCCTATCTACCCCCCCCAAAGGTCAGATCCCTAAGTAAGACGGATCCTGAAACCCAACGGTCTATTACAAAACCCCTAGAAAGCAAAATTCCAGAACAAGAAATCAGTTCGTGGAGGAAAAAAGCCTGAATAAATTTACGTCTTTACGTTGCCGGTTCAGCTGGGTAACTGCAGCCTATTTTTTTTCGTACAGTCATCGTGCCCCAGAGGGCGCTCTTCGTAAACAGCGGCTTTAAAACAATGACATGACGGCCACTCGTACCATGTTCAAAGGGCATGTTACATCATGATCAGATATGCTTTACGTGATGTGCATTTTTATGCATGCACCGTATCTCACACCAGTTCAGTGCTGTCCTTGTTTGAACCACACAGCTGTGAATAATTATGCTGTGATCATCGACAAGGTGTAAGGTAAGTCACACCATTCCGTAGAATACCATCATACTGACATGACAGAGGTAGGCCTAGTCATCCTATGTACATGTACACGAAGGCCTACCGTTTGGGAAAGAGTTCCATATCCAGACTCGTGCGTGACCATAGTCACCAGGTCTTTTACTTCATCACTTAGTCGTGTTAGTAAGTGACTTGCTTTGAAAACCAATCAGACTTGACAAAAAGTGGCGACCTGGCGACTATATGGTCACACACGTCAACTACTTGAAGTAGTTGACGCATGTGACCGTATAGTCGCCAGTTCAAGGGAAAGCTAAGTGCATGTCCGTATTTGGAAATCTTACCCCTTTGTGATCAAACGTGGATTTGACACCAGCATTCAGATGTGTCAATGGCACAAACGACAGTAACTTGCGAGGTGCCAATCCAGCATTGTTTCAAGGGGCACGTAAATGAAATGACCTGCAGTTAGTACAGAGATTGTACCATCATCTCAAAAGTCACATATTTCTCCCCTTCCGATCAACTAAGCAGCAAAATTAGTCTTCAGTCACTCTCTGGGATCAACATGCATTTCATTTTTTTGCAAAACGTAAACTGGTGTTTGAATCAAGAACAACCTGATATTTTGTTCCATTATATTTGGAGATAAACGATGATAGCTTGTTATTGTTCCTAAAATTCAATACTTTGTCTCAAATGTGGAGCCACTTATGAAAAGCTAATAACCTTACAAATCTGTCGTACTGTCTTCTTATCCTTATTATTTCTCTACATCCCTCCCCATGCCCCAGCATTAGCTGGATTAAAATATCCCTTGGCTGACGTTAAACTGATACATTGTCTGCTTTGCCGTAGTCTCTTACTTTTCTATCCTCCGTTCTCAGTGCCACTGCCTGCCTTACTTTACCTCAAAGACCCTCTGTTGATTATTCCCTTCTCCTGTCTCATCGTAGTGCACCAAAGCTTGTTTTTACCCTCTGTTGGGAATTTGCTGCGGGCAGCTCTTGTCGTGTGGCCCTAGGCTCTTCTCTAACCTGCAATGACATATTTCCTGGCCTTGATGTGCATACCAGAATAAAAAAAAAATTACAAAGCTGTTTAGTGATTTTAGAGTGGATTGTCACAATTATACCATTTGCAGTGAGCTGTTGTAACATATAACATGTTTACATTTCAGACAATAGATGTGACTTCAAAACACCGAGTGTTTTGACATTGACAGCAATACGGTGAATTCCCCATCAAGACTGATCAACGTACATGTAAGAACTCAACGGACGTGAAAATGATGAAAGTTGCAGTCATTGGCGGCGGCGCAGCGGGGCTGTGCGCGGCGAGGTACCTCAGCGCCAAGCCCAGTTTGTTCCAGGCGACCGTTTACGAGCAGTCGGATCAGGTCGGAGGCACCTGGGTGTACAGGGATGATGTAGGCACGGATAAGTATGGCCAGCCTATTCACTCAAGCATGTACAGTCGGCTCAGGTAAGTGACCAGTGGAAGCTGGACAGATTTATAGGCCACAGGTGTTCAGGCCATAGAATCAAGTCAGGTTTCTTGTCAATCCACCTCGGGCAGAAGCACCCCCTCATTGATTGAAAAGAGCCAGGTTGGTCTGGAGTGTTCATTCTCTTGGTAGCGATGCAACCGTGACGCGTGCATGTCCTAGTCATTCGTGCATCAGCGCAGTTCAGATCCGACCAAAGGAGCCTCCAATGTGAAGAAAATAGTGCTTTTTCTTGGTCCAGCTTGAGGCCCATAAAGTATGATGTGAAACAAGTCGCAATTTATGATAACTGAGAAACTGGAATTAGGATAGACTTTTTTGAATTTTGAAGTTGCACTATGAAGGTCATTCGTGTACAGTCAACTCTACTGTTATAAAGAGTGAAGTTTGCAAATTCCAATTTCTTGAAGGATTACGTTTTACTTTGTTTCTCCATTCTTTTAAAACAACGTCCTGGTTATAACAAAGCACAATGTAGTTAGTCTGGTCCTTGCAACTTTGTTACACATGTAGCAAGAGTTAACTGTGAACAGCATCACCCATACCTCCATTTGAATAGTTTTGTTAAATTTATCGGTACTTTGTGACACTCTCCGCCCCAAGTTGAAGTGCGCCCCCAAACGGCAAAAAAAAGACAGATGGTTGTAAGTTTTCCAAACAGGTTCTTGCACGCGTTCTGCATGTATGCAACGACCATACGCATACTCAGCATGATCTGCGTCAAAAGCGCTATTGATCTCCATTATAAACGCGCACCCATGCAGCAAGTACCTAAAAACATGCCCTCTTTTGTTCCGTTTGGAGCGGATCGAAGATATCATGAACTCTTCCCAGAAGTGGAAATGAAACATCTTTAAACGACTTTCTTTTTAATGAGCATACAACTCACACACACACACACTACAGTGTGTATTTGCCTGCAACTGTGGACCCCCTAGTGTTCCTCTTTTGTTTGTACTTCAACTTTTTTAGGAGACCACCCGTATGTTTTGTACACAGTTGTCAATTTGGGACCCTCTGTCAATCGGGGACCTTATTTTCTTGAACTGGGAACACGATTTTCAGCTGGTTTTTGTACAAAGTTTCCTTGACTATTCCTCTGCCTTTTATGGCAAATGACCCCTACCCCAAAATGCCTCTAAATTTTTTCAGAGAAAGGGAAACGTCCTGTGGACGTGTTTAAGTCCACAGAACGTCTTTCTTTCCTGCATCGTGTTGATGTCTTTTGTTCACAGGTCCACACGAAGTATGTAAGGTTAGCGCACACCCACACACAACAACTTAATTACTTCATTAGATTGTTACTTCTTTTTGAAACGTGGAAAGCCCAGAAGCGAGTAGCCGTGCGATTAAATATTCTATTGAAAAAGCTCCATGACATGGACCCCAATGCTCATCATTTGTACCATGTAATTTTAAGTTGCCACTCTCAGAAAGAATTGGTACTTGCTTTCAGGACTAATCTTCCCAAGGAAGTCATGCTGTTTCCGGATTTGCCAATAGTAGAGGGCGACAAAACATCCTTCATAAAACACTCGGAAGTCTTACAGTACCTCAACCGATATGTTACGACATTTGACTTGCACAAGTGTATCCAGGTAAAGGCATGGGAGCTTTTTTCCACAATTTCTTTACATTTTCAGAAGGCTTATTGACATCACTGTCAGGCGTGCACTGTCATGAAGATAGTCACTGAAGCAGAAAAATCATTTGAAGTAAAATGTTGATGTGCTTTTATGAGGATTAAATATACTTTTTCCTTTGCTTTGCTGAATTTTCCTTTTTGTTTATATAGCTTCTGACGCGAGTTGAGTCGGTCAAGCCGGTCACGAAAAGTGGCAAAACTACTTGGGAAGTAACGGCAAGGAGTGCAGTGGACCCTGACTCTTCTCCATCTGTCAACCAGTTTGATGCCGTCATGGTTTGCAATGGGTAAGGGCTGCAAAATTACAAGACAGGATCAGTGAAGACCAAATTTAATAAAATCGTGTTTAGACCAAACTTGTGCATGGTTGTGGAATTGAAAATGTGCACTGGTTTCTCCAACAGACAATATGCTGTCCCCAACTGGCCAATCATACCGGGTTTGGAGACCTTCACTGGGAAAGTGATCCACAGTCATGACTATCGACATCCGGAGCATTTCCAAGGCCAGACGGTGGTGTTACTTGGTGCTGGCAACTCCGGCGTGGATATTTCACTCGATCTCCATGTGCACGCGAAGAGGGTGTACCTCAGCCATCTACACCCACCAGTCCAGGGGGTTCTCCCAGGCAATATGCAGCAGGTTTCAGGCATCAAAGCGGTGCGGGGCAGCAGTGTTGACTTCTCGGATGGTCGGAGCGTGGAGGCCGATGCGCTGATCCTGTGCACAGGTTACCTGTACAACTTCCCTTTCTTGACGCCCGAGTGCGAGGTCACGGTGGACAGGAAGCGCGTCAGCCCGCTCTACAAACACGTCATCCACACGAAGTTCCCCTCCTTGTCGTTCGTCGGGCTGGTTTGGCGGGTCTGCCCATTCCTGCTGATGAGCTGCCAGGTGCGGTTCGTCATTTCTGCCTTGGAGGAGAGAATGACTCTCCCAAGCAAGGAGGAAATGGACGCAGACACCCAGAAGGACTACGACTATCGCTGCAAAGTGCTGAAAATGCCCCATCACTACGCCCACAAACTGGGTGATATGCAATGGGAATACTGCAAGGAACTGCTACGGTTGGCCAACGTAGACGAAGATGATGCCACCAAACCCATCTTTGAAGAGCTTTACGTCGACTGTGCGCACTGGAGAAATGAAGACCCACTCAACTACAAGAACCGCAGATACGAGCTGACGGGCATTTAACCAAATTTAGGTTTATGGGTATGCACCCCTAACTAGGCTGCCAAATTTTTCTCATGAACGATATACACGCACCTTCATTACATTATGACTTACTGGCCTGTTGTAAAACCTCTGTACCATTAATCAAACTTATATTAAGTGACGCATTAATGAGGAATTTGTTGGATAAAACCAACAAAGTTGTACATACACTGTGCTCGTCCCGTACGAGGTAAAGTGTTCAAATTCTAGATGATTTTTTTCTTTCCTTGCGCTTGCTTTCTTTGTTTTTAGCTCTTTTCTGAACAGTTAAGAAATCATTTGACGTCTACCGCATAAAACTGAAATACACACAGATGAGGTGATAAATTAGGGTGGTGTTCCTTTATCGTAAATGGCTAGGAGAGTTTTTCCATTCCTCTGTGAGCCCTGCACATGGTTGATTAAGCAGTTGATGAAATGTAGCCCGCAACAAAAGTGGCCAAGCGACCTACATACATTTACATGTACACGAAAATGTATTTCTTCTACGCCGCCTCACATTCTGTACCTGGGATGAAGCCACAATTTTGAAATGTTATTTTCATTAAAGAAGCTTTAAAATTGTTGCACTGTAATTGGGTGGGTTTTGAAGCTCCAGGTAATATTTTTTATGTTTTAGCCTTTGTAATATGAATTATATCATAAATTATTACATAATGAATAATATCTTGACCAAGCCTCAATAGTTTTAAAGCCTACACAGAAATAGTTATCCATATAGTGTATACACCGTACGGCTGTTTGATGTGCCTTCTGGTTGAAAAAAAAATTACACTTAATATCTAAGTATTGTTTCTAACGCTCACAGTTATTGCCCTATTAAATTCGATTGCGTATCCATTTGCAATTTTTGGGGGGTTATAAAGAGATACAACATTCAGGTGTAAACAAATTTCAAACTGCTCTCTCTTGCAAAGCAATCTGGATCACCATAGGCAATAACGACTGTTTTAGTCCGGTCGACAGTCTGGATGCCGTGATTTAACTTGCCATATTGCGGAGAGTGGTAGAGGCGGAAACAAGTCATTCAAGAGTGGGCCAATGTGGAAAAGTTTATTGTGCGAAAAATCCGGGAACCTCTGATGAATTATTCAAGAAGATATCTATAAATGCTTTTTTTGGGGGAAGGAAATAATGACTTTTGGCTTGGGTCATTTTCAGCTGCCAAAGTCCAGACGGTACAAATAAGAGGACCGGTCAAGCACATTTTTATTCCCTTGGGCCAATAATGTGTACGGTATGTTTATTCAGGGCTGTAATAAATACTCAATAGCATGCCGAACACGTTTTCCAAGATAAGGCGTTGCCCAATCATTCAGCAGTTTTCATAGTAATAGATAAACAGGTATGTAACGGTTACAGAATTTGTTTATTTAACAATTCAGCATCCTTCAATGAGAAAAATGTGGAGGTTAGCGAGTCGATTGGGAGGCTTCTGATCGATTGGATGCTGGGTGCCGTCGCGGTGGTTTTGTCTGAGTTCGGAGATTTCGCGAAATCTCTTCAGCATCATGTCATGGACTCCCTCAGTCAGTGCAGAGACGTTGTCTGCCGTCTGGCCTTCGGTGGGAACATTGGGCAAGGTGTCCAGCACGATAGCAACTGATAGATGAAGGAGACACCAAAATACTCAGTGAACGGCATTCATTTACATACACATGCTTATTCTCATTTGTGGGAAGTTTGAAGCAGTTGCTGACAAGTGCGCACTCTGGTTGCTACTTTGGAGCGCATGATTCACAGTCTCTTAACTTTTAAAAGTCTGTGAATTGTTATCGGACTCGGAAAGGTCTATAGACACTGCGTCTTTCTGTTTTGCTTCTTTTGAAATTATATCCAATTACATGTTTACATCAGCGATTTCGTTTTTGAAATTTCTTTAATTCCTAATTTTTTTTTACGCCAATGGATTCATGCATTTCTTTTCAGACAGCATGTAGACACAAACCATAGGAGCTTCTTTTATTTTTTTAAGGTTCATCGAAATAAAGTGATTTCATCTTCGGCTCATGTTTGCATTTAAACCTAGTAAAAGGAAAGTCATCTTTGTCAAATTTAGTTCAAAAAGTTTAAAGAGTGCACCTTTATCAAAGCGGTACTTCAAAGAATCAAACGTGTTTGTACGAAGACGCAACAACAGGCACTATTGGAACCTGCAAAGAGTAGAGAATTATCGGAAAATATCAACGCACCAACGCGTTGGCCAATCACAATGCGCGAAACCTGTCGACCCAATGCGCGTTTGGAAATGGTCGACAAATTTCGCGCGTTGTGATTGGCCAACGCGTTGCAAACTCTTGGAGGCGCACTCTTGTGAATCGCCCGTATTTAAGATCCAATGTCAAATGTAGTGTATAAGTATTATAATACGAGTTGTATGCTTTGGAAATACAAAGGAACTACATGCAGACATAATGTATTTACTTTCCCTGATCTTTTTCTAGCAACTGCATAGAAGTTTCAGACGTATATGTAGTTAAATCTTTAAAAGAAATCGTTGATCTAGCCATTTGGCGATTAAAGCAACCCACTGGCTATTATGAATAACATTTTTAGTTACTGTTTTTTTTTTTTTTGCTTGCTTCTTTGAGTTGGACCTTTAAACTGTCCGAAGAGAAAGTGACATTTTTAGAAACACTTGTTATTATTCCAATGGCAGTGGTATTATTTGCATAAAGTTGTACCTGTGCCTGCACAGCAATGTGGAAGGCGCCTCTCTTGAAGGGAAGCATGTCAATTTCACTGGTGTGAGACCTGGTACCCTCTGGGTATATCCACAATTTTCCCTGTAGACACGGAACAGCAAAATCACAGAATTCATGTATTCAAAACTCGACAAGATGATCCTTGAAATTGTCTGGTAAGAGAAATGAACCGATGCAAAAGTAGTAAGTCTCTCACAGAGAGGCTTAATCGTTCGACTTTTGTGATCATGTACTGTCAAATTTACATCTTTGTCGAAATCGAAATTCTGCCTTAACATAATGTGTGTATTTGGTATGGCTTCTGCACGTAAAGACGAGAGGGCGCATTTGTCAACACAAATATCTTCCGTGCGCGTTTGATGCAGAGCTAGCTCGAGTAATTTGGAAATTTGAGGTGATTTCACGTGGACGCCGGGCGAATAGCGTCATTGAAGGATGTGGAAAGCCTGCAGTTTATTGTTGACAGCCGATTGGTGCCCCTGAAAGGAACGAAGAAATAGAAATATTTGTATTAATTTTACTAAATACCCTTGAAATTACATCTTTGGGTTTCAGTTAACCTCATTTAAAATTGTTGTTTTGCAATTTTAACCCATATTTTGATGCTGTTTTGGTTTTTATGCTAAAGGAATTTGCATATTTATGAGTAGAACTATAACGTCATCCAAGGCACTGAATCTCAATGTTGCATTGACTTGTGCACAGAAAATTTCTCGCGTGTTGCTGCGTAAGCATATCTCCTTGTAAAAATCCTTTTCACAGAAATGTTCCCAGATAGCAAATTCGGGGTTCTTAATTTGAACATGAAAACATGCAACCTGAACCATGTCTTCCTGAATTTACATCCAAGCAAAAGCGCCCGCACTTGTCCAGAAATGCTTGGTCAATTTTTAATATTTGAAAAAGTGCACTGTTCAGTTCACGTAACTCAAAAAAGATGTCAAACCGTCTTCATACATGGAAGAAGAGTACAGAGATACACAAAAAAAGATTCTAAGAAAAATTCATTTCCTGGAGCCTCTAACTTCTTCATCCGAGGTTTACCGCTCTTTACTAGGCCTTTGCGCAAGTTGACACATTTAACACATTAAAAACAATTACATACACATTAGGCCTACATGTAGACCACAAGCAGAATCACAATACTACACAACATTCCCTCTGACCTGAATATAGATATCTTATTCATTTCTTTCCATTATTTTGAATTTTTTTGCCAGTAATGTGCCAGTATGTTATCTGGTGATGCATTTGAATTCAAACGTGAAATCGTTGGAAACATTTGCCAATTTAATAAATGTTCTTGGTTTATGGCTTGGGTGGATTGAAATGCTTTTCGCGAGCAATTTCAAGTTAAATGAGCGTATATATAAATTTGACATATTTTTCCGATCGCTTATTCGAAAAACTCAATTGAATGTTCTCTCTAATTAATTTTGAATTTGACAAATCAGAGGCTCATGTGGTTATTTTAAATCAATTTAAAATGTGCCAGTCAGATTGTGAACTTTGGGATTATATTTAATGAGGGATTTAATAAAGCTATAGGCCCTACGTGTATCTCGTTATGCTGACAACCAAACGTTGAACAAATAATTTTTATGTATCCTTTTTGGATCCCCCTCGAAGTGTTATTTTCAAGAAAATATAAAGATCAGTAACTGGGCATAAAGTTGTGTACATTTCCCACGTAACATGTGATGTAATTTCAATGGACAAGCCACCCTTGGCTATAGTTATCGTTATTTTAGCACAACGTTTATCGTATGGGATTTTTCATAACATGGTAACCTGAATCAGCTTTTACAATGACGATTCAAAGTACAACTTTTATCAATTCAAGGTTATCCAAAGTTCACGATGTTAAACAGTGCTTCTGCATGCGGGGCCTGGCTCAAATAAAAAGACTGTTATTGTCAACAACTTGACTTTGAAGTTATTTAGTGATCATTTTTTAATTTCAAATCAGCTCCGTAAACAGGAAAAGTATACTAAAATGCTGTCAAAACACTACCCTTTTCTCTTTGAGGTATCGCACGCATTGGTCGCTTGACTCCCTGGCTTTTGCCGCGTTGCTCCGGTCGATAAATATAGCGCCACACACGATCATTGCAAGCCCGTAAAACAGCGTGTACTTGAGCGACTTCTTGGAGAGAACAGTGTACCGGCCAGGTGCCAAGGCTGATAAATACACTGACAAGTCCTATCCGAAAAAGAACGCCAATTACGAACGAAGTTGTACCAGAAGACTTAAATAATACGCTGAACCTCTAACGGATCTCATGCACGACATATATCTTTTTCTTTTAAATGATTCAACTGAGGCAAACAAAACAAAAGTTCTACTCATGACTGTTCTGAATAATGAAGACGGTGAAATCAGTGGTACGAGCTCTGTTGGGCAATTGTGTAATCAAAGAGACCATCAAACGACTATCTTATTGACAAGTCTTGAAAGGTTGATCGAGTTTCGAACGTATTAGAACGAAAACTAAAAAAACCCCGAAAAATTAGTATTCCCAGCATGATGGTCGACAGTGAACAGCTGTGCCAATATAAGCACGTATTCCCGCGAGTACACTGCTTCACTTCCGTCAACATGACCTTTGACCGTTACAGATGGCTTGAAATGATGGTTCATGCAGATGAGATAACCATCCCTCAAAATGTTGTGATTTCATGTAAGACACTGCGACGTGGGTTTTTTTTTTCATAAGAACAAAGTAAAAATTAGCATTTAAAAATGTTGCTAATGTATAATTGGCTTGTGTGATAGCGACCCTACGCGATGGTATGGAAACCTTTGGAATTATTTTATTCAGATCAAGTCCGATCAGCTGAGTTCAATGAGTCCTGATCAGCTCAGGCCATGTCCAAATTACTTGGCTCCGTCTGCGACTGCGGACGGCTATTTGCATGAACACTGCACTCGGGGCGCTCCTTCTGTTCAGAACTCTCCAAACAGAAATACTTGATAACATACTTTTCCGGTCACCTTATCTATCCCAGTACAGCTAATGAGAAAAACCCGTTCGTCGTAAGTTGGAAATCGAAGGGGAGCCAATGGCAGCTCCAGAACCAAATATGTGGAGGGCTAAATTGATTATTTTTATTTTTTCACATAACCTGTTATGAACTTTTTGAAACATAAAAGTAAACTTTGAGGCTTTTATAATAAACTTTTGCAATGAAGGACAATGAATGTAAGAATGTAGTTTCATGTAGTAATTCATAGTATTATTAACCGTTTTGATTGCTGTGGGTTTTCCTTTGATAACTAGATAGAAAGAGTTTCCCCCCAATTCTTTCTTTGTTATTGTACTGACGGTCAGGGACAGGTCACAAACAACTTGTATACAAAAACTACTACAGTGAAGTAAAAAAGAGAGGTGTGCTTAAATTTTGCCTAAAATTTGACTTAACAGACTTAATTCAATTCTTGTAAAATCAACTTTATTAGTCCCAACGGTATAAATTCCACGTGGCCTTGTAGATTTGAACGAGTTAATAACAGTGTCAACATTTACAAGGAAACTATTCAAACAAAGAAACTGAACAAAAATTTGTTATCAACTTTCAGCAATGATGACGAAAATAAAAATATCAAATTGATAACCGCCACATTGAGCGAGCTCGCGCGCCTGGCAGAAATTTACCCACAATGCTCTGCGCATCGTAAGCTGTGACCCCGTCTGATGTATTTCCTTCACTAAAATCTTTGCAAGGCCATTAGCCCTTCCCAGCGCCCTTTCGGGCACTTGGCTATGAGCGAATGGCAATAATACGGGCGATTCACAATAGTGCGCCCTCAGGAGTTTGCAACGTGTGGACCAATCACAATGTGCGAAATCTGTCAACCCTTTCCACACGCACATCCGGTCGACAGATTTCGCGCGCTGTGATTGGTCAACGCGTTGCAAACTCTTAGAAGCACACGATTGTGAAGTGCCCGTATTGCTGCTTCTCTTTAAGAAGCAACTCGTTAATGTTATCAGAGACTTTCCCACGCACGGTATGCAAACTGTGTGACTGTGCGAGGTGATTGTATCATTTGCCCGGCAGCCATCTTGCAGCCATCTTTCTTTTGTTCCACAGGGAAAACTCCTTTGTGCACACCCTGTGGAATAAAAAGCACTGGCCTGGCCTGCAAGATGGCAGCCGTGCAAACCCTCTTTTCTATCTGGCTTGCAGGAAATGTCCATTGCTAATCAGTGTGAAACCAATGAAGACAAGTATCGTGCTCCCACAGGAACTGGAAACATGATGGTGCCATTTTCAGGTAATTTACTTTAACCTTTTTGTTTTAAAGGTCTCCACGAAAAGTTAAATGTTATAACCATATCTGGAAAGAATTCCTTATCCGAACAACACTTGATACCCTGTGGACAAACTTCATGAGACTAGTCTGAATTTTTTAAAGTAAATGTGCAAATTTCTTCCCTGCTAAATTTGACTATTTAAAACATAAATGTTACCATTTTCTGATGGCTTTTTATAAACCACGTCACCGCAAGGGAAAATGAGTGATGTCCGTATGTGGAACTCTTACCCCATATCGAGCTGTACTTTATTTATGAGATGCAGATGGGTCTGTTCTGTTTTGATGTGTTTGTGTATACTGGGGCAGAAAATGTGTCTGAGTGTCATTGATCGGTTGATGGCGAGACCTTCTGAACACATTGCATGCAGAAATGTGCGCAACATTATAATGAGTACAAAATAAATTGCTGCAGACTCTATATCTGGACACGCCTCTTCGCTAACGAGGATCTCTTGGGATTCCACTAAACCCAGTAATATATAGGAAACGTACTGTGAAGTTATCAGCCGGCTGATAACAATGCCATTGGGGGATGGAGGCTTTTTCTTTGCGGTCGGGCCGCATCTTGGGCCGTAAGGTGTTAATTTTTGTAAAAAGTACATAGCGCCCTCAAGTGGTAGTTCTTAGGGCTGTGTTGCCACATTGTTGCATCTAATACCATGGGGACGAGGTTTGTTTATTGTGCACTCCTCCTCACTTTGGTAGGTGGGAAATTCTTTGTCTTGGACCAAAGATACACCAAAGCATTATCTTTCTTTATTTCTTTTCTTCTGTAGATAAGAAAGACCAGACTGAACATGTTCGATTTCATTTATCAACTATAGCTCCGCTAGTTAAGCAATTCGCAAAGAAACGAGTATTTCCCCCTAAAAAACACTTTATACAGACCTCATTCAAGTGGAAATTTCATTTCATTGCTTTCTTTTCTACTCTCAACTTTAAAGAAATGAAGAGTTAACCTCACTTTCAATATGGCCGACCCATGCCATTACTAGCGTTCATTGGGGCCTCTAGAACACGCGTTCTGTTTTAAGGCTCTGTTTTTCATGAGAGGAGCTCCAAAAGGCTGCTCGCTCACGTGGTGATCTATCTGATCTGGTGGCCTATTCGCGATCACATTGGGGCCTACAATGAGGGTGTCGTAAGGGTCGATATCAAAGGGGTTGAGCAGAGGTTTTATTGGAGATATCTTGAGTGAGACGCCGGCGACATATCACATGTACGTATTCCTCCACCACTAACACGAAAATAAGGAATTCTTGGAACACCACACCAGATTGTAATATACTTTATTGTTTCCAACTTCCAAGTTCTGGAAAGCTTTACAGGTGGGTGGTCGGATCCTTCCGATCTACATGTAAGTTCAAATAATTACATACACTAATCTATATTTTCGGTCCTAACTCTAACATGGCGGAGTAGAGATGGAGCGTGGGCGTGCGTCCCCGTCGCCACCATGCACGGCTACTTCACATATAGTTACCCCATCTGTTGTTTCTCCAGACGGCAAAAACACCGGGGAAAAATCAATGTCCTTGCATTGCATGTCAGGTGTACGCTTTGGCCAGCCAACAGCAAAGCGGTTAGCATGTAAACTCACCATTTCCCCCCTGTTTGAATCAATTAAAGAAGGTTTGATATTAATATGATTTCTCGAAATTATTGATGGAGGAATTAAAGATTACGCATTTCAGTGAGAAATCGGGGACAGCGAGTTTAACCTAGGGAAAGAAGCAGGGAGAAGAGACGGGAAATCATTTTCTAATTAACATTTTTCTTTCTTCACACGAATTTATATTAGGGGATATTTTATATAATAGGAATTTTCTTGTAAACGGAATCTTAAAGAAAGAAAGGATCGTATGCACTTTCCTTGAAGCTGATTAGCCCGCCAAAGATTAAGTCGTAATAATTTGCATTGTTTTACCAGGCAGTCCACTGGGGTCTCTGTGATAGAAAACCATTTTTTATTACTTAAGAAGATCTGGTTTAAAGTTTTTACACCGCCCACCAAGCAACCTTTCGACACACATCTGGCTCGAAGTGTCGGGCTACATGATGTAGCCAGAAAAGCGGCACGGCTTGTGCGGTGGTTCGATCTCCCTGACGGTGTAGATGCACTTCCTGTCGTTCAGCTTGACCTCACATCTGAGTTTATCGTAGCCCGTTGGTACCAGAGCACTGTTGGGGAGAGGAGGGGAAAATTATCACATCATTCCCATTCATCCCTTAAAATAGCTTAGAATCATCATAGAAATATGGAAGGGTTGCGTAGCACCGCGATCAGAATATCGACAAGAATATAATATCAAATCAGTGCTCTGATTTGATATTATATTGTCAAATCAGTATATATAATATCAAATCAGTGCTCTGAAATACGTGATTTGATATTGTCGATATTAGAATCATCATGTCGTAAAGTTGTCTTCAATTTTGTCACTGATTCTTTGTGAATATAACAATGAGTAGTGCTTCGTCAGCGTATGAACATTAATGCGCCTTTTGAATTCTTGCAAAGATTCAAGTTTAAACTGTCTAAACATTGAAAAGTTAGGCTGGCGTAGTGTTTCTGACAACCTTGACTGCAGGTCAGTTAGCAGTCGTGTTTACTATTAATATATGATGCAGGGTCTATCCAGAAACTGAAGACGCATGAGTTCCAAGACAGTGGATTTGTTGTTCAGTGCAAGGCCGGATTCAGATCCAAGGGAACAGTGCACTTTTGCATGGCTTGACTGTACCAGTCACGATTAAGCTCAGAAAGAATTTCCTGAACAAAATGGCTCCACAAACCAACCTCCATTTCAGCCCTCAATATCTTCACTCTGATTGATTCAAAATCCTCATTGGGTTTCTTTTTCGCGGGGAGGCATCGCCCTCATCCCCCCCCCCACCTGCCCTTGGTTCAGTACAAACCGTTTGACCCCAAACACCATGTCTTTTCAAAATACCGACGATATTCGCATTTATCGATCAAATCGCTTTCGAATATTTCTTGGGAACAGACAGAATTTCCATAAAGATGGGTCACTGGGCACTGAAGGACACCTGGCCTCCCAATTTTGCTAAAGGTGTGAAGTCTGGGAACCAGTCTTACAGTACAGTTGGGCGCTTGACGCCTAATTTTATAGCTCGATGAATAATTCTTACATGGAACAGCACTGGACAGCAGTGGCTTGTTTGTACTCGATGCAAATACACTTCGTGCACGTGGTTGAAACACGATTAGGTAGATTCTCCTTGATGGACCCACCTACCATGCACTCCACTTATAATAAAAACAAACAGACTAACAATATACACGTTGTCTTGTATTGCTGGACTACAGATAAATTTGGGTGCGTGGTAACTACTTTTTGGGGTTATTTTGAACTCGAAAGATATAAGTCTGTGGGGGAGTCCTCATAATTACGTATTAAGGTCTCTCTCTGTGTGTCAATTTTGAGATTTTCATAACTGAAAATAAACATGCAACAAGTGTCGGAGGTGTGGATTCACGCTCCCGAGAATCTGTGTTCAGCTCACCGCTTGCGTATCCACTCCGACTACATACCTTTCCTTTGAATACACTGGCCTACATAAAATGCCGTTAAAGACGCCCTTAGTTTGCAGAGAGTTCTCCATTGGTAGGCAACAACTTTTGCCTCAAAATGAACATTTTGTTTCATCGGTGTTTACACGAAACACATTTTCTGTTAGTAGTTCGTGGCAGTACTCATTACTTAGTGATTTAACATAATTATATACATGTATATTTACAAAAGATTTTAAAATTTGTGAATCGTTCTTTTGATTCTAACTCACAGCTAGCCATAGTTTTGCCAACTGATTGGTAAAACTGCGCTTGTGTCGTAGGCAAAGGAATGGTGTCTTCCAACAACCGTCAACAAGCGAGGCTTTATGTATAATAAATGCCACTATGTAAACATGGCAGTAATATATTACTACATTATGTAATACAGTCAACTTTCGTTATAACAAAGTTGCAGGGACCAGAAACGTTACTTTGTTGTTACTAAGGCTTTGTTACAAAAGGAAAGAAACAAAGGAAAAACCTAAGAATTCCAGATATTACGGGTCAAAGGCATGTGTCACGTTGATAAGCTAGTCATAGCATAAGTTCATAATCTCACGTCGATAACACCCTTTAAAGTGAGTATATTTCCCTTCAATTAAACAACCTCTTTAATGTTTTAAATTTCGGCAACAAAGATTAAATTTAGTGATAATAAATAACCTCTCATAACTGGTATTTTCCCAGGGGAAAAAATTCCATCCAGGATTCGAACCCTAGATTTTTGGCATTCGAAGCATTTTCTTCACTCACTGTTTAGCGAGAGCCAAAGCTAACAACAAAGTTCCTCTGCAAATACAAAAACGAATTTTCCTACCACACGGATTTTTTCTGCCCCTTATCTCAGGATCTGCTGATGGGTCAAAATGCGCGCGGCTCTGTAACCTGCCAAACATTCACTACCGTTTGGTTTGCCTTAGTGCGAACAGCACGAGTTTCAGTTTCATCTCGTGCACTCAGTGGCTTACCGTCAGGGATGATTTCGCACGATGCATCAATTCCTACCAAGAACAGCAAACCCAGCCCCAAGACAGGAGTAAAGTTGCCCATCTTTCCTGCTGAATATCGACAAATATAATGCACATGAAAAAGTATTATCTACAGATACGTGGCCAGCTGCTGATGTACAGATAAAGTATACACGCTCAATTGTCTGTGCGCTGTCTTTGATGTTCACGAAGTGATACCCGATTTATCTGCAACCAATGTACAAAAATACCAGGTGAAAAAAGGTGCCAGGTGCAGAAAATGTGTAAGATATTTAAAAAAAAATCCTGTTATTATTAATCCTGCTCATAATTTGATTTTTTATTGGGGTCCTTTTTTGTTGACATACGGAACACATAATAATAGTTGTACTTTATGAGCTTAAATACATGGTATTGTTGGTAAAGTAAAAAACAAAATTTGTTTTTAATGTAATTTCAACATCTTATAATGACGCACTCACAAACATACCTTTTAGCTGACCAGCTGTGTTGATGGAGATAAAAATGTTGAAAGAGTCCTGGGAATGATCACCGCAGTTGTTGCGATGCTTAGAGTGCAGTGACAACATATAATCTGGAACTAATTTATATGAAGTGGCTCATCTGGCGTATTGATCAGCAGTAACTTGGCAGTGGCACTCCGCTAAGGATACAGAATTGCTGACACTCGAATCAATAGATGCACGGTTTCCGTCATTAATCGTTTACTACAAATTGATTGAAGAATAAGTTATCCCCTCAAATCATTGTTTGCAATTTTTGTAACGTAAAGCAGGCTGCATTTGTAAAGCATGTCGGGCTTATGTATTTACCATTTGATAGAGACTGCAGGTTGTGATGATGCTTGCTATAGCTTGCTTGCTTTGGATCGAGGAATAACTTTGCTCGATTGTTTGCTTGCTTGTTCGGTTGTTCAAACTTTGGCCGTTATTAATATGCAGGAACAGCGAGGAATATGCCAGGGCTACCTTGAGTAAAATGCTTCAGCTTTTTTGTCGACCTACACAGAAAAACAACAAAGTGTGTAGCAGACAATATCAGCTCTTGACATTATATTGTATTTATTAACGTTTGATGCACTAATTTACCATTGTGTTTGTCATACATTATCCTGATTTTACGTCCCTGTTTAATCATGAAATTGCATTTAGTGTTTTAATTGGAAGTTCGTGCTGAAGTGGCGCCAGTCCTAAAGTATTCATATTCCAGATCAGAATGGTAACATGTAAGGTGATATTAACACTGGCTGCGTCCAAGCGTGTTAAGGCGGCTTATTTGTGCGTTGCGTACACGGTGCATTTCACTTTCACGGACACAAAATCGATCCATTCACATAACACAAGTATGCGTTGCATTCGGCCGTCAAAATTGCCCTGGGAGCGATTTTGACGGACACGCAATGCTTGGCGCTGAAGAGTTTTTGACGGGCATAATATTATGGAAAGGTGCCTTTAATTTCCCCCGACGCGAGTATTCTCTCGAACACTGAATGTCGGGAGTATGACGTGCTAGTAAGCGTAAGTGTACTCTTTCGAGGAGCTGGAACACACTGTTGCGCCTGGGGATTTGTGCTTGTGACCAAGTGGTCATTTCGAAGTGGCAGAAAGGTAAATATCCTTTCTAATGCAAACTGTCTATTTTCCCGGCCTCTGGAGTGAACTTTTGATTATGAGCGAGGGACCTTATGTGTGGCCATGAAGGACATTTTAGAGAAATTTCAGAAACGTGGTCAGGTACACCCACATTCATTACAGTGAAACGAAAATCAAAGAAAGAAATTGCGGTGTCGTTTTCCTTTTAGGCCTGGCGGACGGGGGTGGGGCGACGAAGGCTGTGACCCCCCAAACAAGAGTCCTCTAGTTATTTTTTTCAACAAATAATGAAAGAAAGGTGATTTTATTTCCGATCCCTCAAAGAGCTTGTAAAAAGGCCTCTAAATATAGTTTAGCCCCTCAGAAGTCCTGAAGGGGTCAGGCTTGCGAATTGTTCTTTCCTCGTCTTTCACCTTTGTGGTCCTGGGTTTGATTCCCGGCCCGGTACACAAATTGATAGGGTTTTCAGTCCCTACCTGATTTTGTGGGTTTTACCCCAAATATTCTTCTGGGGTTTTCCTCCCACCACTAAAACTGTGACTTCTTCTCATTGTCTCCTCGCTACAGGTCTCTTCAGGCTTTTGAGCTACAGTTCCTAGGGTACTTTTGAGGAATACTTGGTTTCATTACAGAAAGACATTAATAAAAACAAAATTTCAAATGTTTACCCGCAAGCAAGTTTGCTTCCCCCCCCCCGAAAAAATCTTGACCGTGTGATCCGAAAATAATGCGCACGCAACGCTTTACACCCTCAAGCTCGTAGAGCAACACGGTTGAACACAGCGTAATCTTTCATCTTCATACCTTGTTGAAAATAATTCCCAAACTCAATAATGTTAAAGGGTCCTGGTAAAGACTTTTGAAACTCTTTATTGTCCCCTGCACATATTGCCATTTTAATTACAGCTCTTTTGGCACCCGTTTTGTTACCGTTTATACGAAGTTCCGTATTCGCGAGAAAAATGGGGCGCCATTCAAGGCAAACTCTCTTAACCCGGGTACTCAATAATGTGCATTTTTTGTTTAATCATTTATACAGACCCGTCTTTCTATGTCAGGTTTGTGGTTGAAGTGGATCACAGCAACAGCGCCCTCAATTTTCAGCACGCTTCTTCATTTGTGTAAAAAAAATTAATATTAACCCAAAATCGGTGTCTCACTGGCATTATTGATAATCAGCTATGATTTGGTCTAAATGTCAGGGTCAGTGAAAATGAAAATGAAATGATATCATGATAAGGCGAATGCTTTTTGTTTGTTTGTTTGTTTGTTTGTTTGTTTGTTTGTTGGGTTGTTTGTTTGCAAATTGCCCTCCAAGCAACCTCTGCCTTAGACACGCGGCCCGAGGAGGCAGCCTATTCCATAATAAATCCGCTGAAGCGACACCTCTCGTTTGGTCGGTCGATCTTTCTCACGGTGTAAATGCACTTCTCCGTGTCTAAGACCATCTCGCACCTCAGTTCGTCATACCCCGTAGGCTTCAGAGCACTATATACGGTAGACAGACAAAAGTTGGAGTCGTTACTGAACGAGCCAGATTGCTAATCCAAAAGCACATGCTCGGCACAAGGCTATTTGGAAATTAACAGCTGTCATACGCAGCCTGAATCGAGTGCGCTTTGTTCCTGAGAGTTCTCGGCTTTTCGAAATACGAACTGGCTCATTCTGTCATTTCCAGAATTTTTCTAAATTCCATGTTTCCCTGACTTAACAAACCCAACTACTCTTGCTATCAATCGTAGAACACCTAGCGACGACATGTATCAGCAGATATTTGCTGATGCAAACGTTCCGATTTAATTCAAAAGAAAGCGAACACGCGTAATAAACGCAACCTATTTTTAACGAGGAAGCATCCAATCATCGTGGGATCTCACCGATTTATGTTGAATGTTAACTAAACAACTCACTCGGAGGATTTCTTACATTTTTCGGAATCAGTTGGGATTCGTTTCGGGATTTACTAATGAATGGCTTTCCTCTGTTTCGTCAAGATCGCAGGCCCACGAACCAGACCAACAACGCTTTGAGGTTCTCAAAATACAACAACGCGTCACGCCACGTTCATCGTGTAACTATGTTCTATTCGGGCAACACTACGCTGTGCGGTTAGAGTTATTTCACTGCGCGGTGAGAGTGCTGTTCAGGTGACGCCTGGAACGGTTATGGCCTCGTCGTTTTACTGGAAATTCAAAATTATGACCACTAGGACAACTTTTTTTCGCGCAGTGCTACAACTCTCATCGCGCAGTGCAGCAACTCTCATCGCGTAGTGAAACAACTCTCACCGCGCAGTGCAACAACTCTCATCGTGCAGTGCAACAATTCTAACCGCGCAACGAGACTATTCTCTTCGCTCAGTGCAACAACTCCCATCGTACAGTGCAACAACTCTCATCGTGTAGTGCAACAACTCTCATCGTGCAGTGCAACAACTCTCACCGCGCAGTGAAACAACTGTCATCGTACAGTGCAACAACTCTCATCGCGTAGTGCAACAACTCTCATCGTGCAGTGCAACAATTTTCATCGCCCAGTGTAATGTGGCCTGAATAGAACACCGTATGTATCAGATCAATAAATTATTCTCACATAGAGCAGCACTGGACCGCAGTGCTTCGTTTGTACTGGATGCACATGCACTTCATGCATGTGGTTGACACGTGAGCGGGTATACGCAGATCCTTCTCAATCATCTCACCAACCATGCACTCCACGTCTATGTGAAATAAACACAGATAAAACCTCTGAGAGACTGCATCGTTGCAGAAAAAATGATGTCTTTCCGGTCCATGCTTTAGCATCACTCGAATGAATAATATGAATTACCGGTAATACAAAAAAGCTTACCAAGGCAGTCAAACTTGAAAGTGATATCTCTCCACACGTTACTTTTTTGAACTTTTTTGAAGTTTCAGTTGCTTTTTTTTTGAGTATATACTTTCTTAAATCTCTGTTTTATTTTGTTACCCTTTTCACGAATGACTGGTCCAGTTAGGTAAAAAAAAAAACAGTTGACACGCGTGTCCTGTCGTGAAAACGGTGACAATCTATTATGACGTTTATGTTCACAATTTAAGAGCGTAAATCGAACCCAGTAAGAATGCATATCGAATAGGAGAAACACCGCGTCATCTCTTCAACGGGACGCGACGACGGCAGGACGGCTCGGTTGCTTCGTACCATCGCGTGGTTCCTTCGCCAGTTTTCCACTGCTTCTGTGAGCAGACTATCGTCGTGTCGCGCGGTGCGTCGAGTCTGCGCCCTCACAAAATAAAAAAGTTCTACCCGTTTCCACTTTAACCTGAATGAGACATCTAACGAATTTTAGGTGTGAAGGCATTATGGAATAACAGCTTTCGAATCATTTTCGGCCTGATCAAAAAAATCTCTGATCTCGCAGGGTAGGCTAAAATGGTTAGCTTAGAGGTCAAATACAACTGAAGCCAGAATGAAAAAGGAAAAAAAACTGTCAATACAAAGCTAGAACTTTTCAAAAATAACTAGTTCATTGCAGTTCTTTCTTTTTTACGTATTTTATGAAGGAAAAAATCCCTCATGCCCACCACAGGCAAGTCTTTTGATTATATTATTCTGCCAAGGAGGGAGTTATAAAGTATATCAAACCGGGATCAACACGGACCTACGGAAAATATCAAACTTTTACTTCTAGTGAAAATAATTGTTTTGGTCGTGGACCCGGTTCTGCCTTGTCTATTTGGCATCAAATTGCGCGCAACGATGTTGAGAATAAGTACGACGCAGTTCCCGATAAACAAACCAAGCAAAACAACCCCAATTAACAGAACTTTACCAGATTGATTAAGAGGTCTTTTAAAATTAGATTTACTTTTGCCATAAAAACATGTGTTGCCCGAGAGAAGTTTATTACCAAGTAACAGGACTGCACCACCTGAATCAGGACGATCAGCGAGGGTCCGACGCGACGGTAAACGGTTAGGTACAGACATTATTGTACGATGCATGCAATGAGCCACGATACGGCGCGACGCCCCAAAATATAGAGTACCAAAGTGTGACGTTGCTGTGAACCAGAAAGTGCAGTGCAAACGAATGGAGTACGTGCGTGTGTTGGTTCACGCGCTGGTTCTCGCGCTAATGCCTTTTACGCACTAATTGTTTGCATGACGTATTCACTTCGGTACTCTATAATGTAGTGGAAAGGGAGCAACGGCTCGCGTCACGAAGCCGTCGTACCGTCGCGTCGTGCTGTTATGATGCGTCTTAAAAAGAGTAGGGAAATTGTGTTAGTATACGACAAACCAGTCCTGAAAAAAAGTCACGTTTTCTTTACGTTCTATGGCTTACCTTCAGAAACGATGTCACACAATGCATCAGCTCCTACTAAGAAGAATAAGGCGACTGCCACGATTTGTGTAAACGCCACCATCTTGTCTCTTGAATAAACTAAAAGATAAAGCAGATCGAAAACGGCATGACATTGACGTAGAAGAGTCTATGCATCAAGTTGAATGTACTAGCTCGGCTCAGTTTTAACCATGCTTTTTTAACCAAACCAGTGTACATCTGAAAAACCGCAAGACTGTTGAACACAAAACAAGAACACTGTAATGTTGAATTACACAGTGCTAAAGAGATATATCCGGTGTTGCAACTTAAGAACATTCAGCCTGACAAAACTGAAGTATCCTTGCTGAGAGTATAATTAGTGACCGCGGAACTTTTATACTGGTTCTGAATTTGCTGTAACCCAATGAAATTCCATGTCGATTCGTGCACAGCGAGTTATGGTATTTCTGCCATGACGTGCTCTCGGCAACGGGGACGTGCTCACGGACATACCTTACGGTGGTCTGACTGTGTTGGCGAAGATGAGATGTTGAGGAGCGCCGCTGAATGTCCGTCTCAGTTGTTTCGCTGTTTTGCTCACTGCCCCAACCCAACGGGGAGCTCATTTATATAAGGTGGCTCATCTCTCTTATTGATTTGTAGCAACATGACAGTGTTCTCCCACAGAGGGTACAAAATTCCGACATTCGAATCGGCAAATTTACAATTTCATTCATTAATAGTTCACTAAAAAAATTGATTTGGGGAATTAGTAATCTTGTCGGAGACGACAACTGGATTGCACGCCAGACACTGTTTACAGTTGTATAACGTGGGTTACAACCTCATCATCATACCTAATATGTACGCTTTGGTGTAATGCGTGCTCGTTAAGATGCGTGTTTACTTATTTGCCTAGCCGGCTGGCTTACCGGCTTGCAGGCAGGCTGGCAGAGGCGTAACTTTGGCATAATCATTACTTCATTCCCCGTGGTGGCAAATCGAGGGCAAAATTAGCGCGATTCATTTCACTTTGTCCGGAAAGCTTGTGAAAAAACTTAACGTTGACAAAAATGTTACAATTGAAGGTTACCTAGAAAGAATTCAGATTCCTCCCCCCCCCGAAAAAAAATCTGGACCCATCCTTGCCTCCCCGCGGTATTATTGCTTTACATTAATGACCATTTTGTAATAACATTTTTATCTCATATAAGCCATTTACGTGAGAAATGCTTCCAAGGTTACAAATATACAAGTTACACGTATACGTGTTTATATTTGTTTTATTCAATTCCGATAACCTATTAGAGCATACGTGTCAAAATACTAGGGAAAATGCACGATCGTATTACAAGAGAAACCTTTTTAAATTACCCAAGGTGCCGGAATTACGCAACACATTGGGAACGATTTCTATACTATATTTTAAGTAGAACATAGGCCTTCATAATTTTGTCAATCTACGAAATAGAGACAACCATGAATCGAATGTCATGTGTTCTCATTTGAAAAGAAATGCATTGTTCGCACACTACTGCTTTATAGCAGCATGTTACTATTGCCATTTCGGCTGTTACGTGTTGATATAATTTGAATGTCGTTATAATTTTCGTCATCCTGTTGAAATTAAGCATCACCTTACGCGGGCTTCTCAAAATATCAGATAATATAAGTTTCTGTAGAACCCGTATAGGCAAAATATATATCATTCATATCATTGCCTATACTATCATTTTGTTATTGAATGTGTTATCAGTGCGAATTTCGTAGGCCTATTTAAATAGAATTTAATGATTTAAATGAAAATGTTCTTTCGTATTCCCCTCACCTCTGTTTAAATACAGCATTTTACAATGCCATTATTGAAGGCGTTTTGGGAAGAGGAATCAAAGGCTGCCAGAACTGGGATTTTTGTTTCTGTTCAATTCACTGCATAACAATCAGTTTCTGCAGCTGGGCTCATAAATCGGGTTATGGACATGATTGAGTTTGTGCCAGAAATGAATCATAGCAACAGCGCAGCGCCCTCCATTTGCCTATTTCATCACGTATCCCTTGAAGTCACACAGCTTGTGCGGTGTTTTGATCTCCCTCACTACGTAGATGCACTCCTCTTCGTCCAGTTTAATTTCACACGTCGCTCCGTCGTAGCCTGTTGGTACCGGGGCACTGTAAAGCAAACAAACAAGCAAAACCAAACAAAACAAAAAAGACAGGCGGACTTTTTTAACCGGAACGAGTAGGATCTGCTGACTTAAATATAATGTATTCTTAGATCTTTGTTTGGTTTGGGGTGTTGATACGGTTATTAAACGATAGACCCAAGAATGAGCTAAATAAATTCAGGAAACTGTGGTAACCAAGACGTGTAATAAAAACCTCACACCCGTTTTACCTAATCGCAACTGGACCATTGAAATGATAATAAATGGGTCTAACATCTATTTCAACAAAATCATGTTTAAGTTACGATCTGTTAATTTTTGAAATGGAAAAGATTTGAACTACACCTTAGTGCCGAGCTGTCGTAACAAATTGTAAAGGATAATGTGCCGTAAAATATGTCCCTGATCCGATTTTGTTGTCAACTATACGGCCCACACCATACACGGAAAAGCTATCGCGAATGCCGACCATAGTTTCCGATGCGTTGATGATATCGTGACCTGGAAAGGAACGATCTCCACGGATCGTCTTGTGTGCCAACGGCTATGTACCTGACCTCACGGTTTCGTCAGGAAGTGCATTGCCTATGGTACGATGACACAGCGCGACAGGACTCGTCATAGCCGCCATGGCATCGCGCCTGGTGGTCACAGCGCTTGTTGAAGCAACATCGCATATCATGTTTGAACGCGATTCATTACACTCACCTGGAACAGCATTGGGCAGCAGTAGCCTCCTTGTACTCGATGCAAAGGCACGTGACGCAGGCGTGTGACAGAGTATCCAATAAGCGCTCCGTCAAGGACTCGCCTACCGTACACTCAACTTCAGCATGAAAAAAGTACACAGAGAATTCACAGTTGATTCTTGAAGACTAGATAGCTGACCTTTTCAGAATTGGACATCATCCTGTCTGGTCCTAACTTTCTAACCGAAACTGCCTAAACAATAGCATTCTGATGCCAAAGTTAAAAAAAAATGACGCTTTTTCCACGGGCGACACAACCATACAACGCGACGGCATGGCGGTTCCCCTGCATCGGGCCGTTGCGTCGGGCTGTCTTCTTGTCATTTTGCGTCACCAGTCGCGTTGCATTGTCAAACGTCGCGTCGTAACGTGTGTGCCGTTGTGTACTTCGCCCTTGTACTCATAGAGGGCGCCTTTAATGTTTTCTGTCAGCTTCATCCCCTGTGCTTGCAACACTTGTGTAAATACCCGCAGAGTCCGTGTGCATACCGACCAATCAGTTACCGAGTTAAATTTGTGTACAGAAAAAAAGGAACCATTTACTG